CTTCAGAAAGGCTGTCGCTTTTGCTTTTCGGAAGTTAGAGCTATGTCGGCACTGCCGTTTCAGGGCGGGGTCATTTTCAGGACTTTCGTCCAGGATTCAGGTTTTGGCACATATGCCATGTTGACCGCTACGGTCATTTTACCCTAAAACAGTTGAGATTACCTGTGGTAAACGAAACGCATACAAACTAATATACAGGTCCTAGACTATACTCTAAGCCAAGATATTCGTCAAGCGTCAACCGTCACTTCGTTTCAAAATAAATTAAGAAAATACCTGTTTCCCATTTAATTATCCACGATCAGTTTTATATATACTTTTTTTGCCGCCAGATATGTAACCTGTAATTAATGTTGTTTACTATGTTCTCTTTGTAATCACTCACGAACAGTATTATATATACACACTATATTTTTATGAACTGTATTATTACGAACAGTATTATTTATATTATATTATATTGTAACCCAATTTTGTTATATATTTATTGCCGTGACACTACCTCCTTGTTTATCAAATATTTAAGAAAGGAGCCCAAATCTTAAAAGCCTTTTTGTTTCTTTTTGGGCTACCTTGCTACTTATTATTATTCCTAATTTTGATATACTTGTATATCAACCTCGTTCCCAGGCTGAGCCTGGGAACGAGGTTGCTTGTATATGTGTGTAATCACTGTAATGTAGTGAATAAATTGATTTGATTTGATTTGATATCGTCCACATCCTTCCAAAAATGTATATCATCTCACACGTAATGGCATCAAGAACATTTTAAACAAGTTTCAACTTGGTTTCAAGTAGATCATAGCTGCTTAACCATCGACATGGTAAATCCACACATTTGTCCAAATTCGGCGCCATTTTGTCAACCCGTGTCTGTTGTCAACAATTCGGCCTTGTTACTCTTCCATCCAAGCCATTTCCATTCCACTAATAACAAATTTAACCTATTATAACGGTAGGAAACTAAAAAATCTAAACAAAATATAAGAAATGCGGCATTTTATCACCCTGTAAAATGTTGCTCACGAGTCTTTCAAAACATTCCATACAAATCTTGCGTGCACGACAAAGTAACAGGGACGTGACAGAGGGGGTGTGAATTATTCCACGAAGATAGAAGAAGATATAGGCTGCGTGAAATAGACTAAAAGCTAAATACAATCATACAAACGTTTGTTTTATTTCTTGTAGCGACAAATATATACATATTATTATTTATTAATATGAACAAGTCATACAAATTAAATGTTGATTGTTGGTTTTACCATACTGTGTGGGCTTTGCTTTCATTTTTCAAGTCTCCACCCCCTGTCACGTCCATGTTACTAAACCACGCGTGGTTTGTACCAAATGGATAAAATCAATCGGCACCAGTTGAAATGGAAATGTTCTTTCAATTGGATGGAGACGTTCACGCTGTGTGGTTGCAGGTCGTTTTTGTTTGAGGTAACAACATACAAACGTTTTGGATATAATGCTTAATATCTGAATGCATTATAGGCCAGTAGACTCTAGTCTAGCTCGGACAAAATCAAACACTCTTTCATGACCGAGATGTCCCATGTTATCATGAAATTCCTTAAATAGATGATGACGAAGCTTTCGTGGCCATACCACTTGCTCAATGTCACCAACGCGTCAGCACAGCAATCCATTTTTCACCAAAAGTCTACTCCACTCATGCAGAAGTTGTTGCACAGCAATCGGTTCTCTTTGTTTTACTGTTTGCGGAAGACTGTCGCAGTTTTTTTTCAACTTCAATGCAAAACTCTTTGAATAACGGGATCGTTCTGCTGAGCTGTGGAGACATCAGCCACCTTTGAGCATGACTTTCTCTGCGTCTCTTTAATAAATACTGTAGGTTCATCAGTTAGGGTACTGACCCAAGGAGCTTTCTCTTGTATTTGGACACCTGATATCGTTGCTTGGAGAACTTGTTGTGTGATTTCTTCAGTGCACGACGTCATGTACAAATCCATATCCAAAGACATTCGGGAGAGCGTATCTGCGTCCACATTCGCTTTACCTGGGCGATAACGGATATTGAAGTTGTAGTCAGCTAGCTCACCGATCCATCTAAGACCTGTCGCATTTAATTTGGCTGATGTCAATACGTACGTCAAAGGATTATTGTCTGTGTAAACCGTAAATTGTGGCGCATAATAGAGATAGTCTTTAAACTGTTCGGTTATTGCCCATTTAAGAGCAAGAAATTCGAGTTTACCAGAGTGTGCATGATAATTCTTTTCTGGTGGAGTTAGTGTTCTTGATGCATAAGAAATCACTCTCATCTCTCCGTCTTGGTTTTGGTACAAGATTGCCCCAAGACCATCCTTTGATGCGTCTGTGTGGACAACATAAGATTTTGAGTAATCAGGATAAGCCATGATAGGTGGACTTGTTAGAAAGCCGATCAGTTTCTCCAAAGATTCTTGGTGTGTTTGTGTCCAGTGGATCGATCTTTGTGAAGGATGCCAAATGACCATTTTTGCCGCCCGTGGGCCTTGTGCTATTAGCTGTGTTGAGGAGGCAATTCGTGAGAAGTTGGGGGTATAACGGCGATAATAACCTAGAAGTCCGACTAGGTGTCTTACTTCTCCAATGGTTGTCGGTTTAGTATCCTTCAACGATTCTACAGCCTCGATGCCTTTCGGATCCATAGAATAACCCTGCTCTGACACAATACGTCCCAGAAAACAAACCTCCCGTTTAAACAAATTGCATTTTTGCGGTTTTAGTTTAACGCCGTGTTCTCTTAAACGTCGCAAAACTCTTCGAAGATGATCAACATGTTCATTGAATGTGCAACTAAAAACAATCACATCATCCAAATATGGTATAGCAATTTCGTCCCTCAAGTCACCCAAGCAGTGCTCCATGAATCTTTGGAAATTAGCAGGAGCATTCATTAATCCGAACAGGATCCGCACCCATTCATAAAGACCCCACGGGGTGATAAATGCTGTTAGATGTCGACTTCCTTTGTCCATGAAGCCCTGATGATAGGCATTTCCTTGGTCTAAAACGCTAAACCACGAATTACCACCTACATATATTGTCTAATGTTTCCTGGACTCGTGGAATTGGATGACGGTCTGGCCATGGTACTGTTCGGTGATTTAATTTACGATAATCTGCACAAAGCCGTAATGTTCCGTCTTTCTTCCGTACACACACTATGGGGGATGAGTATGGTGACTGGGATTTCAATATAACTAGTCCTTGCAACGCACATTCCTTTCGCTCTTGGCAGGTATCAAAATATCCCTTTTGATTGTTTTTACAATACCTAGACAATCTTGTGTGTCCTCCTGGATCAGCTCTACAAGATTATTTAGTGCACTGTCACTACAGTTCGCAAAACTTGCTTTGATATATGCGTTTCTCTCTTTAGGTGGTGGCCCTCCTGGCACACAGTCACATTTTACAATTTCTTTGATGACATTAGGGCCATTTATACGAGACAAAATAAGATGCGACTTACATAAGACGCGACTTAAATAAGCGGAGTTATCGCATAAATGCATGGTTCTCTACGGCTTTATTCTTATTTACTTGCTATAGCTATAATGTTGCTATAGCTATTGTTACGGTTGTTTTTGTTTTAATATGCAAGGCTATAAATAATTGTACGTTGTTTCAAGTTTCGGGCATGTGTAGTTAGAATGTTTGTCCAAAATTTCTTATTTAAGACGCGACTTACATAAGAACCGCTATAAAAGTCCTGTTCTTATTTAAGTCGCGTCCTATCCAAGACGCGTCTTACATAAGAATTTTGTGCCTTTTATACGACAAACTCGCGTCTTATTTATGTAAGTCGCGTCTTACTTTGTCTCGTATAAATGGCCCTATTGTATCCTACTATTGGGTAGTTCAACTCCTCTGACGTAATCAAAAATGGTACCATTACTGTGGTCTCTTCTCTACCAGAAGATAGTAATCTAAACTCTAACTCAGCCCAGCCAGTGTACGGGATTGCTGTTTCATTAGCAGCATTTATTTCCAAGGGACTGTCCAGAAGCTCGCTTATATCTCGTTTCTTGACATCAGGGAACTTTGCATTTAAGAAATCATTTTTCATTATTGACACTTGAGCCCCTGTGTCCCACAAAACCTCAAGTTGACGGACATTTAAGAAACCGTTCACCGAACACTTTTCCCCAACAAGGTTTGCCATGTTGCTTGGTCAACTTTGACTCTGATTCTGTTTCTCTTCCGCTTTTTTCTTCAAAGTAACACACAAATGTTTATGCATAGGCCACTGTTCTTTTTGGCACTTTCTTGAACAGTTGAAAGCGATTTTGCAGTCTGAGCAACGTTTAAGTTCGTCCGATACATTTATATTCTTGTTACAATAACTACACTGACGGGACCTTGTTTTTTATTTGACTACTGGCGGTCCCCCTTCAGTAGCCTCTGTTCGTTTAAAGATGGTTTAGTAGATTTCTTGCGACAGCCAGCTGCAAACTGGTTGTCGGCACCACAAATAAAGCAGTGTGAGCAGCTACTCTGTCCGGTTTCTTGACATAAAGTACATAATGACTTTCTTGGCACTCTTCGATTTCTTTGTCTTGACTCATCACTGGTCTTTGGACTCTTCATTTCTGCACGGAGTGACTCTACTTCCAATTTGATTTATTTAATTGCTGCCATCACGGTGTCTGACAAAGTTTTTGCCGTGTCACTAGTAGCACTCACTAGTGAGGTCTGGCCATTGACCTTTAGACTTGCCTTGGGTTGTGACTTTAGCTTCCTACACCTCTCACTTTCTGATGAAACTGCAGCATTTAGTTGCTGGATGAAATCTTCATCCAAAACATTTATGTCCTTTAGATATGGTCGGAGTTTTGCACGAATGCTCTCATCTTGCGGCCCTGTTTCCACTGTTCGCAAGAACAATTTCTGGATGTGTTCCTTATCATACTTTAGAACACTTGTATCCTCATCACTTGCAAACAGGATCTTTTGACGTAGGTCAAGGGCACGGATTAGGAATACTTGGGGGTCTCCTTGGATCCTTGACAAAGTGAGGCCAAATTCTGATACATTTCGGTTGTATTTTTCACGCCATAGTGACTTCGAATAATCTTACGTAGCCGGTCTAGCGTTAAGTCACTGAATGTTTCAAGGTAACTTCGCAAAACCATACCCGGGCTTATTGCCCGAATTATACCATCCTTTACTTCCTCTTATGTGAATCCCTGCTTTATACCGGCTTCGATTTGTCGAACAAGGGAAGTGTAATTCAGTTTATCCTTTTGATTCGGCTCACCGATCTGTCCGGTTATTTTAAATTGTCGTCGTAGTGCACTCATTAAGCCAAAATATGAACAGTTTTCTGCAGTATTTCTGCTTCTTTTTCTAATTTTGCTTTTGCTTCCTCTAGTTCTTTAATTTTACCCTCAACTGCTTCTACTTCTTTTTCTGCTGTATCGTCCCAGGCCCCAGATTCTTGAACAATCATCTCCTTGCAACGTCCGATTAAGTCTTGGAGCATTTGTACACGCTGCGTATCTGTTTCTTTTTTTATCAAGTTCACCGTCCACAAATTTACACAATAAACCCACCATTTGGGATTTTTTTTCTCTTTCCAGTTTGCCCTCTCAATGCTGAGACGTTCGGCTATTGGTTTTACAACATCCATGCTCGCTTGACACAGCAACATTTGAAATTGGATTTGTAAATCCTCAATGTCGACCATATTGTTTGTTTTATATTCACTTCATACACATATATGTTTGTCTTTTAATAAAACAATCAATACCAGCTGTTTATATAAAGTTAACACACTTTAATTGTCCGGAAACGAGAGTTCTTGATTAAACTAGTCACAAATGCCACAATTTTGACTGTATAGTGCCATTTATACTTGATAATATTCCAGATACCTCGCACAACAATGTACATAATTTATGCAATCACATATTTTCTTCGCTCAAAAATACAAACAAAACAGTCTCTTTTATCTTCAATTGTGCTTTTCGTCTCGGTGGGACCTCCAAATTGTTACTCCGCGTTACATTATTACTAAAATAATGCCACGGATGACTTTATTTTGTTTTATTTAATCTGTTTTCTATTTTATCTCACGATATATCGAGTTCGCCTCGTGTTCTCTTCTTTGTCTCTCTTAACACTTCATGTAAACTACACGTGTAAAAATTGAGAAAATCAACAACTTGTTGCAAGTTGATATCGACAGGCGTGAACAAGGTTGTGCGGCCCACTATGAACAGTATTGTCAACATGTTGTTACAGCATTGTTCAACTGTAACAACTTGGAACAACATGGTTGACAACTTGTTCATAGTTGGCCGCACAACATTGTTCACGCCTGTCGATATCAACTTGCAACAACCTGTGCGTTTTTAGCCGTGTACATTATTGTGGTTTCTCCTAAATACTTCATGTAAACTACATTATTGCGGTTCGCCAACATTCGGTCATAGACGGTAATGTCGTCATGTATCCACTTGAAGGCTAATTTCCACTCCAGAAAATAAGCAGCGGATCGGACCGGATCAGAGGTTATTCCGATCCAATAAAGCTCCTGAATTATACTCCATTTTGTAAATTTTATACAGGTATTATTTAATTATTTTAATTTATGTGAGATGATACGGTATTTTGATTGGTTGCCAGGTTTAATCCGGAGGACCGGACGAAAAAATTTAAACTTTTTACTATCCATCTGCAAGGTCGCCGGATCAATCGGAACCAAAAATTTCTACTGATGGCGCATGCGCGGAATTTGTTTTGTTCCAATCCGTTCCGATCCACTGCTTTTTTTCCGGAGTGGAAATTAGCCTTGCCCCGTGGAGTCTGGAAAGCACCATATTGGTCCCTCATAATATCTCAGAAGTGTTGGTAAAACCCATTACTACAGAGGTGCAATATCGTAGTCCACCGGGGGTTCAAAAGGTGGCATACTTTTGAGAACTAGGGTGCAGTGAGATTTGGTTTAAACTCTTAAACATTTCAAGCTTGGACCATTTCATCAGTGGCTTCTTCAAATGTCGAAGTGGATTGGATTTCACGTTCCACGTGGGCATTAACATCCCGTCAATCTTAAACTTGGGTGATCCGGATCAACCTCTTCAGGGGTGGATTTGGGAACTACAACAATTCGATGCGTGTTCGTCCTTCGACTGGTTCGATAATGTCGTGGGATTCCTGGAGATCAAGCTCTTTGTCCACGGCAGCACGCAGGTGGACGGGGACATGCGATGGTGGGTGGACAACTGGAGTGGTTCCTTTTTTCATGTGAATTTGTACCTGGACCATTTTACACAGCCAAGGCCTGTAAAAACATCTTTGTATTGTTTGAGTATGGTGGTCTGATGGAGTGAGTAGCTGCCTCTGGGACGGCTGATGATTGTTGGATGCTAGCTATAGTGAGCATAGATAGGGGCCCGGGTTGTGGTGCAGGGGCTTGGCTAGGGGTAAGAAAGAAGGTGTAGTTGTAAGTGAGGTAGCGGGGCCTAGTTGATCGCTGGGTCGATGTTTCAAGTGCCGCTTTCTGTCGTTAAAAATGGTTCAGTGCCGGTAACGGTGGCGCGCTCTGGCGACTACGCAAAAATGTTGTGTACATTACAACGTTTTATAATGCTTTTATTTCTAAAGAAAGACGATACAATATGAAACACTAAATGTTTGCTCGCAAAAGAAACATGTGTTCTTTTGAGTCGGTAATATGGATGTCAGCAGTATGTCCCTACAAGCATACTCATCTGTATGGCAATATTTTGATAGTTAGTTTCGCAATCCACACAACTCGCCCTAAAACTAATAAACATCGAGGGAAAACAAAACAACTTATTTCCCGAGGGAACAGGCATTAATTTATATAAGTGTTTTGTTAAATAGCGACGACGAAAAAGTAAACAACAGTCACAAAATAATTCTATTTCATGAATAAAGTCTTTAATGTAAATTATTCTAACAATAAAAGAACCTGTTAAATTAAGTGTTTCAGCAGCAATTCCTGGTGCCTGCATGATTGTGTATTTTTCTTCTCTATTATATACTGCATGTATTCTTTTCGCAAACTGCACGGAAACGTTCTTTCTAATTTTTTACTCCATTTTGAGCGTTTATGTACCCAGCCGGTCGAAGCGGGCAACAATTTTTAACTTATTGGATTACGTAAATCCACATGACCACAAATCAGCCGATTGTGTTTTGTTTAATTAAACACTAGCAAGATAACAAAATTATTTGTATCACGTAATTGACGACACACAGTGCGGGGCCCGTGGCATTTTTTCGCGTGGGGCCCCTTGCCTGTTCTATAACATAAATTTAAATTTAACCCGTTTTAAATATATATGGTAGCTAGCGTTGCCGCCAAGCCCTGCGACGCAACCACATATAATCGGACAGCCATTGAGATGATCGATATTATGAGTCTTCCAAATATCTGCTATAGCCAATCAAAAATCATGAATCTCGCAAGTTAATAGTTATATATTGGATTCTAGCCTGCGAGCAGGCTCTCTGGGTGAAAGAGAGCCTGCAAGGATCCCTACGATGAGTGCGTGCCGCCCTTCAATTAGGATGTCACAGGTCAATTGATAACAACCAATCAGCGCAGACCGGAAATGCACTTCAATATTGTAAACATAAACCGATAAGGGACGGACCATGCTCGATTTTTTTTTTGGACCTCACCGACTCTGCACGATTATTTTTTATCGAATATTGCGCGTGCACGATATTTTTTAATTTTTAATATAGCGTTAATACAATAAGTACCTGCATTCAGTATTTTTATAAAACCATCATTCACGTATGGTTATATTCCGGCTGAAGAATGTATTTGAATATACAGCATATAATTACCACAGCTAATTTTATACTTGGCCAATGTATTGAATCTCGATAAATCATTGGTCTACGAAACGTAGACCATAGCCCCGATCAAAATTGGATCAAGTGTAACCTATTTACTGGCAGGCAGTACTCTACCACTGACGAGTAAAAATCTGCTGGCATCAGACAGAGGAAATACCAAAGTAGGGCGCATTTTGGGGGCAATGCCAGTTAATGAGTCAACAACGCTCTGAAACTTATATTTAAAATGTGATTTAATCTAGAATTTTTCAAGTGGAGCACAAAAACGTAGACATGCACTCACCACTACATCAACCTTTCACATACATATACTAGCAGCTTGAACGAACATATCCAGACGGGATTGCTTTTTTCTCTTTCTGTAAGCCAGAGCCCAGCGAGGAAAGTTCCCAAATACGGGGACGGCCATGCAACGGGCTGATTGCGAATTGTCATTAAAAATCGTTGTAGATATTTAAATATATTCTTTATAGGTATAGTTAATATTTTTAAGGTTAATGTTTAGAAATGTTTTGTTCAAGAACATAAGAACTATAATTGTATAAAAAACTGTTTCTGCAGTTAATATGTTCCATATACTTTATGTACTGGGAAAGAAAACATACCATGTTATAAATAAATTATTCAAATGTGTCATTTTTTTTTAAATCAACTCTACCATTAATATTTGCATTGGCATATATACATGTAATGGCATCTATATACAAATTCTCACGGTTCCCAATCATATCAGTGTTCCCAATATGTACAGGGGCTTAAGAACGGGGGGGGGGGGGCAAGGCCACCCCAAGTTTTCAGAAGACACAAAAAGTGCCCTTTTCCCGGTGGCAAAGTGCCCTTTGCTTTCGTGAAAAATATTGTTCAGATTGCATTTTTGACTCACGGATGTTGCAAAGCAACAACCAGAATTCAGAACCAGAAATCGGGCTGGAGCATTTTTCTTTCAATATAGAGTGTTGCTAATTTAGAAATTTTTTGTGCTCGATATCTTTTTTGATGGTGTTGATGTTCGTTTTTTTTTTCTTCAATTCGAGACATGCTCGATTTTTTTCGGATTTGCGCCCCCCCCCCAATGAAAAATCAAATGGTCCGTCCCTAAACGTTGGACTCCATTTAATATATTGTATTCTTTCGTTAGTTTCGTATACAGACCGCCACTGGGGCATACTAACAAAGTTAAAACGGCTCGAGGTTTTACAGTGTAATATATCAAGTTGTACTTTTTATTACAATCTGCATGTGTTTCTGTAGGCACAGTAAGTTTAAAGTTGTATATTTATACCCGCACTACCCGCTAACTAATTCAGTTGTTTGGAATTGCTTCATGCTGCAATAAATATATATATACAGTATAGTAATAATATAACTTACTGAAATTTATGGCTTTGGTGAGACATATACATATATGATATACCATGGACATTGGACATAATTTGATAATATGTTTATAGTTCAAATTTTGGAACAAAAGGTGGCATTACAGTAAACATGCATGTGATAATTATTGTAAACAAAGTGACGAGTAAATTACTGTACATTTTAACGCCGCATACTTATAAATATTAAATATTAAATAGTCAGTATAACATTGTAAAACAAGCTTAATACAAACTATATGCACTGAATATTATCAGAATAATTCTCAATATTGTTTCATGAAAGAGAAGCGATATAATGCCTTGTTCCTAGGTTTCGGTTTGCGAATTTGTTCAGTCTTTTCTTAGCCTAGAAGTCAGACAAGCCCAGGACACAATAAAGCATGCAAGCTTTTAGTATTCGTCTTTATATGAATACTATATTAATTCACAGTAAAATGTCAACAAGGATACAAAATACATGACACTTTTATCTCTACATTGCCGCAATTCCGAAGCTTTGCGTTGCCGCCGTTGCTCGGTTTTACAAACGGGAAGTGTAGTTTATGGAAGCTTGTCAATCACTTAATTTGAATCAGTTATCAACCAATCAGAGCTCTGCGTCCAAATATTGGACGCATGCACATAAATATCATAGGGATCCTTGCAGGCTCTCCTTCACCCAGAGAGCCTGCTCGCAGGCTAATTGGATTCTTGCAATTGACGCACAACACGTATTTGTTGACTTCCGCCATTTTGGGTGGTAAATTAAAAATAGTTTTAAAAGCAAAATGGAGTCAAAGCAAGACTGTGGCACTGACTGACTTTACCATGGCTGTTGTTTTTGTTTGAGCACTTTGATGTAGTAGTCGGTTGAATAAAATATTTTTACCACCCAAAATGGCTGATTATTTCTTATGATTGCATGGTCATACTGCAAGACCTGAATACCGGAATTCAATCTTTTTAGGTCAATACTACTGTACCAAGATGTTATGACTGGAACGAAAGCAAATGTGAAAAAGGATTTGTACAGAAGAACTATGTCGACAGTTCTCGAGTTAATCAAATCGTACCGATATCAAATGTGAAACTAATCGATTCTGGTGATTTGAAAATATATGGGTGTCCTGTTGAACAGAACTTGGTCATTGTGGCAAAACAAAGCAGAATTAAGTTTCGGAAAGAAGATGTTATATCAAGCACACAAGCTGAAGGGATATTTCACAAAATCCAAGACATTGCGAGTACAGGTAATGGTTCAGTTAATCACAGAAATATCTATCGACAAGGTATTACGCCCGACAACGTATCACGTACGGTTGGTATAATAGCGGTATAATTGTTTCTTTCATTTTGTTTGCGTGCAAACAAACACTTTCCGCAATAAAAAATAATAGGGTTACTGAATCTACTTCCTTCTATAGATTTGGTTGTCATTATATTGATGATGGAAGCGCAGAAATTTTAGTCGTAAATTATTTCCACAAATTCAATCTGTCCTGAATTGTTAGAAACAGATTCAAAGTATATTACTGAACATATCTGGGTACTAATGCGCAGATTTATGTTCCGATTCTTCTCCATATATTAAATTTATTTAAGGAACTTCCTTTTCCTGTTTTTAAAGTGCTAATTTTCTCATTCCTTGCGAATGACGTTTATTCAGAATATGCCGATTTTCTATCGAATCTGATTTCGCCGAAAGGAGTTCGTGGATACAATGTACTACACAGATTTGTCATGAAATTGAATCCAGCCTTTTATAGATTTCTGTCCAACATTTTTAAAGATCACCTCGCGGTAAATATAATTTTAGAAGTATAAGATAACTACAGGGTGTATAAAAAAAGGAGACCTTTAGAAATCAAGCATATTGTTAAAATTTGAATGCCTTTTCAATTGCAATATGCTGAACCGTAGTGCGTGAAATATTGATGGGGCGCATATATTAGAAAAAGGAGACCTTTAGAAATTGAAATAACGTTTAAACAAAAGATTGTCTGCTCCTGGGAACAATCTGCCATGCATACTAGTGTACGTAGATCGCATGTTACGCACTCGTGGCTTAGCAAAGTGCTCCAGGATTCAAATTATAACAGTGGTTGATTTCTAAAGGTCTCCTTTTTCTAATATATGTATTTTTTTTTAATATACGCACCACGGTTCAGCATATGTGCAATTGAAAAGGCATTCAAATTTTAACAATATGCTTGATTTCTAAAGGTCTCCTTTTTTGATACACCCTGTACAGGGTGTATAAAAAAAAACGCAACCTCGGAATTTCCCAAGAAATCGGCATGGTTTTAAAGACAAAAGATTTTAGGCGCCTGGGAATTTAAAATGTCAAAATTATTGCACAGGCGAGTGCATAAAGCAAAATTTATGCATTTATTTAATGCACAACAACAGTAATAAGATCTATTAGCAATTCGATTTCAATTCCCAGGGGCTTAAAATCTTTTATGCTTAAGAATTGCAAAGTGATTTCTTAGGAAATTCCGAGGTTGCGTTTTTTTTTCACCCTGTAGAACTGGATCAAAATTAGTTTAATATTCAATTATTCATAACTTTCAATTATGATTCCGCGCGTGAACTAGAAAATACCGCAGGGCCGTAGGTTCAATTCCTACCAGAGGACCTTGTGCTGCATTTTTCGCAGTCGTTCCTGGTCAGGTCTTAAAATGTATGTAATCACTTGGATTACAAACCCCAACATTCTAATAATAATTCCACCAAGTGAAGTGCAAGAAATCACATCATTCAAGTCCACCTTATCACAACCCGCACACCCGATTACTTATATATACATGAACTTACGGTTACAGCTCAACAGCTGGTCTCTGTAGCTCAGTTGGTTAGAGCGCTGCACCGGGATCGCAGGGCCGTAGGTTCAATTCCTACCAGAGGACCTTGTGCTGCATTTTTCGCAGTCGTTCCTGGTTAGGTCTTAAAATGTATATAATCACTTGGATTACAAACCCTAACATTCTAATAATAATTCCACCAAGTGAAGTGCAAGAAATCACATCATTCAAGAAACCCTCGCCTTGCTGACAAAATCATTAGAGCCTTATTAGGCTGCTATGTAAAATCCTATTAATCTATCTATCTATATCTATCTACCTATCTATATCTATCTATTTTCCGAACATGAAGTCGTTAAAGTTGTAAATATTTTTAAAATCGAAAAATCCCCTAAAAATATCACTTTTATAGTTACAAAGTTATCAATTTCCCAACCATATATATGTTAGGTATGTTATTATTAACTTCTTATTAACCGAGCGCGAGGGCTTTACAGAGAAATATCGGACCGAGATCTTTTTTGTACAGACCGAGCCCGTAGATCGCGCTCGGTCGGTACAAAAAAATGAAAAAACCAAGGTCCGATATTTCTCTGTAAAGACCGAGCAAGGGAGGTTAATAAAAAGTTTATTATATGGCATTTATACTTCAGTGAAACAAACATGAAATGCATGATTTGAAATACACATTTGGTCGAAGAAAACAAAAATTACCAATGTATTCCTTCTTTTCCACTAAAAACCATTCGCAGATATCTTATTAATAACAAATTAAATTATAATTTTCAAATTTTCAATTAGCTTTTCTGTTTTGTTTCAAAACGCGTGCGTTTGTTTTTACGTAATGGACCGCCGATACGGGAAGATAATGGACCGCTGAAAGTGTTTCTCAGCCAATCACAGTCCGCCATTTCACCGGAAGTGATGCTTGCCATATAATAAACGTTATTATTATATGCATAATATAAACTTCAATTTAATGTGAAATTCAACCACAAACGCTTCGCAAAACGTTTTAAAATGTTCTTAAAACTAAACTGCCTTTTATCGATAAACTTTGAGTATGAAATAAAATTATTTCAAATTCTCGCATGCGAATAACTTTGGTTTCCTCTCTATTTAAAAAATTTATATAATAAAAAAATGTAATCAATAAATATACACTGAAATTATTTTATATACTGTCGTTCCTCATTATCCGCATGGACAATCAGTTTTTAATGCTTTCCTCTTCCCGGGTGTAAATAGCCGTGCGGAATTACTGTACCCTCGTCCCGGGCTTACGCTCGGAACGGCGCTCCACGCTATGGCTCGGGGATAAAATGTCGTATCTAACCCGACATTCATGAGGCTGAATACACCAGATCCGAAAACCTAAGTATAACAAAATTGTAAGAGAACAGAGTTTTTAGCTTCTTGCTATAAAACAACTTTCGTACAACTGGGGGCTGTTGTACGAAAACGGATAGTGCTATCCATCGGATAGTGATTTCCAGTGGATACGCGCTATCCGGCCTTCATACCACCGGTCGCTGGTATACTGTTTTCTAATTTTACGCGTACCACTTACCAAACAATCCTTTTAATGAAATTTTACTTGGTTTTTTAATTATATACTGAATAATTATTATAGATCAGCATATACTTATGAGTGCAACCCAGGCAAAGTTGGAAGATGTAGTTTCCTACAGCGATTTCAGTCAAGAGGTTCCACTTCGGAAAGTGTTAGTTCAAGACTTGCTTGAAAACCGTCCTGATGATAGTTTGGTGCAAGATATTCTCTCTGGAGATGCAACAGTTAACGAAACTGAAGTGCATGTTGTTTCAGGTGGTAAGTTTAACACTTTTATATATAGTTCGCATTTATTATTATACTTAAATATTACGTATTCCCGAAATGTCGAATATCTTATTGCCAATTTGGTCATTTATAAGGAAACAAAATAATTTTGTTAATAATTTTCAATTCACCAGTTTCGTTCGCAAAATGTTTGAAAAAATTCTGTCATCTGTTTGTGAACTAATAGTGTCTGTATTCAATTTCACAATTGCATGTGCATGCATGGAGTTGAACCGATTCTAATTTATGAGCAAAATATTCATATACTATGGCCAAAGAAGCCTGTTCCTGCGCATGCATGTGGTTTAGCAGTGCGAGATAGATAGGAATTACCATGTATCAACTCTGCTTCATCTGTTTAACAAACATGCTTACTCTCTTTTGTTCCCGTTGTAATAAATTGACGCGAGTAGCTAATAAAGGCCGGTCCTAGGACAATCCGCAATTGAGAACATAAATACCAATTTTTGGCAGAACAATTCCGGGCAAGTTTGGGCATGCCCGGAATGGGATTCCTGGAAAACAGAATTCCCAGAATGAAAACCATGACGTCACTTCCGGTTCCCAATTCACCGCGCCACACTGGGGGACCCTCTGCCTACCGGTCACCCCCCCCCCCCACCGCTCGCGGAGCTGTGGTCAATCCCACTCGCGTAGCCGCAGCCGGCCCTGTCCGCAAACCCACCACATCCTCCGCAAGCTCACCGCACCCACCGCATCCCACACGCTTGTTGGAGTCTTGCTGAAGGGCTTGACAGAATCAATATAAAGGTAAGTGGTTATGTAAAGAAAACAGCCATGTCAATTTCAATAACCAAGGTAGAGGGATTCTCCGGAAAATTTTTTGATTTTGAGGAACCTGTTGGAAACAGATTTGGGTCCGAGAGTATTGGGCTTGTGGCGGGGGACGGCGGACCCCTCTTGCTCTTACTAAAGGACTGCTTAGCTTATGGGATCAATATGGACAAGAAGTTTGGGAAGGAGTACTTTACCATCCCATTGGCGGTTGGAAACCATAAGGATTTCATATCAGCCCTGGAAGTATTGGAGAGAAGATGTGCTGAAGAGACCGGAATATCCGGGGCAAACGTCATAAGGTGTTTCTATCGAGGTGGGAAGCAACCTGTCTTGTATGCAAAGATCGATGAAACCACAGCGATGTATAAGGATGGGGGAGGGGATATAGATCCCATGAAACCCACCAGCAAGCATTTTTATCTGGATGCTTTGGTTAGGTTCCCAAGCATATATGTGTCTGGGGATATGGTATCCATACAGGTACTACTTCAGGAGGGGGTATACTTGAGGGAAAGGAAGGCGGAACCCTGGAAGAGGCTTTTGCATCCACCTACGGATAAATAAAGGAGTACTTGGATTCATTTAAATTTTAATGTTCCTTCGGATATTAAAATTGGTCTGTTAGGATTCCTATTACCTTAGGTTCTTATGTCCTATTGCCGTGGTGTGTATTCCGTCTTCGTTGACTATCCTTGTGTCATTGCTTGCCGATAGGGCTACTTTGACGACCCTTTCCGTGTATATTTCATGCAGTCTGCTTCTAAAGATATTCATTCCTCTCCATTGTTTCTTGCCAAGCTTTGAGTTTGGCACTGCAGTCGCAGCGCCAATTTGTTACAAATTCTGCATGCAAGCTTTGAGTTTGGCACTGCAGTCGCAGCGCCAAATTGTTACAAATTCTGCATGCAAGCTTTGAGTTTGGCACTGCAGTCGCAGCGACAAGATCAACGCATATAAAACAAGCATTTTTTGTAGAATTTAGTAACACGAAATTTTTTCTGGAAAAAAACTGGTTAAATATATCTAAATAGCATTATGAAATGCTTTTTTTAAATTTGTGGACAATATTTGAAACAAAGGTAAAATTTCGCAGGATTTTCTCTAAATAGAATATTTCACTTAGCTTTAGAACGTGTTAATATCTTACTTGTCGTTGAAAGTTTGCGTGGCGAAGGACCCACTGAACTTCGTAATCTTCTTAAATTTGCACGTGATTCACACCATGTAAACATGCACTCGAGTCGCTAGTACCGATTTAAGAATTCCAAAAGTTGGCGCGGAGTTTGCAAAGACAAAACTGTCCCACAGTGTAGTTTTGCTCTTCAACTGCTTGCCAACTGAGCTTAATTTAAAGACCATGTAAAGTCCATTTTGCGCATACGTTCTGCGCAGGCTTACATTCCAATGGTCGGGACCCGACCGTTGGAATGTTATTAATATTTCGTGTCGATCTTTTGAACTTTCTTGAATTGAATCTCTAGTCTGTATTCATTTACAAGCATAGCAAACCAGAAGAGTGTTAAAAATTCAGTATAATATATATCTAATCACATTTTACAACTGTAGCACTGAGTTCAAAATGTAAACAAAGCGTTTGTTTACATTACGGACTTTACATGGTCTTTAAACTATGTAATAACTATTCTTTTAATATATATTCATTTTTAGTGTGAAGTTTCTTCGAAACTTCACAGTATTGTGATGACTGGGAGGAAATTCAAACTTATCAGTCAGTCAGTCAGTCAGTCAGTCAGTCAGTCAGTCAGTCATACAGTAAACTTTCCGGGGGGTGTATACGATTTATGTTCGTAGTGATTTATTGTGCTTTGTCAGTACTTTGAAGGTTATTTAAGCAATTTCAGTTAACTTATTTACATATTCTGTTATCCTTTTGCCAAGTTCACAAAAATTTTGTAGAATCGCTTTTGTTATTGTATTTTTTTGTAAATTTTAGAACATTCGCTTCTCATGTTGTGTAAAGGATCTTTACCCCGGAACACCCGATTTTTTTTAGTAGCGCAAATGCGCATGCGCTATCAAGCCGTAGATCACGATGGCGTGACGATATGCTAGGAAGGAGCGACAGTGTTGTTTTCAGATGTATAAACATTTCAGACGTGCATATTGAGTAAATTTTTGAAAATCTACGCAATATATAAATTGATCTTATGCATTACGGGCGTTCAATTAAGTGTCGATAATATTTAGACGGTATATTCATTATACAGAGCTAGGAAGGAGCTAGACCGCCTAGACAGTGCAGTCAACACTCAAGTGTATAAACATTTCAGACGTATTAAATATCGAGTCGAAAATCTTTGAGATTCTAGGCATTCAATTGAGTGCTGATATTATTTTCACGGTATACTCATTATACGGAGGTACAGTACGTACGAAGAAGCGAGACAGTGTTGTTTTCAAGTATATAAAGATTTCAGACATGAATATTGAGAAAATCTTTGAGATTCTACGCAATAATATAATATATAAATTGATGTTATAATTACCGGCATTCAATTAAGTGCCAATCGATATTATTTAGACCGTGTATTCATTATACATTGTTATTGACTGTAAAAGGTGCTACATCACAGAACTCAGTACAAAGAGCGAAAAATTGCATCAGATCAATAAAGCGTAAACAACTATTAAACAGAAGCGGGTGTTTGTACAGGCGTTTACGAAGAAAATATTGCGAGACGAAAGAAATCAGTTCAGTCAGAGCTCCTTATTTAAATAAGAAAGACGAGGAGATAGCCAATGTGTTATCGCCAACGTGTTATCGCCAATCGCTTGGCTCGCCAACAAGATTTATGCAATGGAAGAAAAAAGCAAGGAGGTACATGTAGCCAACATGTACTGTCACGGACCTTGTTTACTGTCTAGCACAACGCCGTTGTCAACGGTGCAAACTCGTGTTCAGTGCAACGATAACTCTACCAGATTTTACGAGAATCAATCTGTAGTATTCTGTATACAGAACTGTATCAAAGCTTGTCAAAACTGCTTTAAACACTGCAGCTATAACTGTGAAACTATTGAAATCTAAAGTGACATTATTCAACACATGCGAAAAGCTGAAAATAGACACAACGTGACCTTCGAAAAGTCAAAGGTCAATTAGACTTGTTATTGTCAAACATGTCACAATTAGGTTAAAATGCGGAAGCGGATGGAGCGGATCCACGGAACGGATATGCGGATAAAATATGGAACGGATGAAGATAAAGTGCTTCCTTTCAATGATATAACGACGTAGTGCTTATTATTCATAACATATTGTATACAGCTATTTCAATTATAGTTTTAGATAAGTTTAGCATAGCAGTAGCCTCGTGGGGATTCTTTTAGCGACAGCTGCAAATACAAATGCAAATGAAAATTTAGAATATGCAAAATTTGGTTGTTGGTGAAACAATTGAATTTTAGCATGCGTGTAGCATCACAATAAATAGATAAATTGTGTCAGTTTCACAAGGCACGTTTCTGATGTGTCGGGCTTGTTTCAAACGTCATGCGCCGAGCGCATGAGATGAAATGCCTTTGGTAATTGTTTATTTCGTAGTGTAAGCGATCAGCTTTTCTAGGTTGCCGGCGAACCTATATAGTTCTTGCAGTGTCTTTTTCAATTTGAAACTTCACACTATCCTTGGATCCCTAGTTTAGATATATAATGTTATTCATTTTTTCAAATGTAAAAATGCCTGCATATATAATAAAAAATTACTGACAGTCTGACAGTTCAGGCTGTACAGCCGCTGTTCGGGCTGTATACGGGAAAATATCAAACCTTACGGTCTTGCGTTATTCAGCACGGCTTTGGTTTGATATTTTCCTATACAGCACGCACTCTCGGTCAGTACAAGTTGTTATTAAACTAAATAATATAACTATATAGCGGTAACTCCTTATAACTGGCATTTTTGCGATTTAAAATTAATGTAGCTAGTACATGTTTAGATATTGCCTTTAAAGTATAGTTAAATTATATTTTGCTATTTTAGGATCAGATATTTACGTATATAAATGTCTTGGACACACATATGTAAGTGATGAAGGGGAAGAAGTCACTACGCTGTTTGTGGTCATTCCTATCACTTCAGTAAATGGTAGCTTGAAGGTTGGAAATGTTCTTGTTGGAAATAGCAGCCACGGCTTTCTAGAGACAGTTAATGAAATAGTTCAAGAAGACGAAGCCAAGTTTGTTTATACTGAACTGGCAGCTTGTTTCCGTAATTTTTCAAATGCAAAAAAGTAGGTATAATTTTAATTGCCCTCAGCTCTACTGAATTTTTAAATACATGTTCAGCACTTTTAAAGATATAAGAATCAAGAGAGGCCAGTGGACGTCGCTAACCTTAAATATATAGTGATTTAATTAATTTCTTTGAAATAATTTTATTTATACTTGTAGATACAAAACTTTAAATGAGACAACAAGTTCATGTTTGGGGGGAGATAATCTTCTTGGTTTGAAAATCACAGAAAAAGATGCTAACGTTACAACCGGAGATACAATTGTTGGAAGAGAAAGTGGTTCGTTTTTGGGAAAAGTGAGTAACAAGATCCTTTTTAGAAGTCAGTTTGATTAAAAGTTTACAAGATAAATTAACATAACTGATTAATCCCATCCATGCAGAAGTGCGTACAGTGCGTATACAGTGGCGTAACGGAGGAAAAGGGGGCCCTTATAGGCATATTTGGTGTGGGGACCCCTGTTGACCATATTATATTTATATTGAATATTTATATAGAATGTTCTGGAAAATTCCATGTCTATAACAATAACAGTTTCCAACACATGCATGTAACAACTAATAAGGCCAAAATATCCCGGTTTATCATCAGCGCCCGCATTCATTTTTCGTGCCGAATGGATTTTTTAATTTTTTATTTTTTAAAAAACTCACTATTCCCGGCAACCTCGTTCTTCCGGCGGACCGTGCGAGGAACCCACGCCAGATTTTCATCAAAGCTGAATTTAAAACATTTTAAAGGAGATCCAATCAAATTTCAAGCATTCTGGGATTCATTTGAAACCACAATTCATAATGATGAGGATGTATCGGATGTGAGTAAAATTAGTTATTTGGTTAGTTTACTGGAGGGACCAGCTTATTCGGCTGTAGCTGGCCTTTCGCTTACAAGTGCAACGATGGTCGGCATTTTGAAAACACGAGTTCATATTGACAACGCGTGTGTGATATTGCACTTGGGCCTTGGCAATTGTGATATTAATGAAAAGTGTAATATAGCATTGAAAATATAATATTTTCACGTTAATCTGTACCATTAACAACTGTGCTGCGTGTTTGAGTATATCTTTTCCGTGCACCTACTAAATGTGATTCAGTAAAAAAAAATATTAAAAACTCCGCCCGCCTGCACGGTTTTTTTCTGCTGCCACTGATGATAAACCGGGATATATTTTTTTACATGGTCTTAAGCCCCGTTTACACGCTCGATTTTTGGTACCGTACCACTTTTTTGGTTCTTGGACTACCTAAATAGGTAGTCCAGGAAAAAGTTACGGGTACCGTAGTGTAAACCGGGCTTAAGAATAACTTTTGTTTTATTTGAGATGGAATAAAAAAATCAGCTACCGTTGTCGATGGAGACTTTATTATTTAGCATTATTAATTTTTCATTTTCCCATTGATTCTTAACCTGCATTTTTTACGTTTTCTAATTTTCTGGGCGATAGGCCGTGGCTGATGGGGGCCCCTAACAGTCGGGGGTTCTTAGTTTTTGAACTAACCCTACCTAATGAGCGTTAATGCCACTGTGCGTATATCTTTTAATATGTGATGCACTAACTAAAGTTAATATATATGCATGATAAGTAAAACATAAACCCACGGAAGTTCTCGTTATGATTATTTGGCCTAATTAAATTTATGCTTCTGCAGGCGAGGCGTAAATTAAAACATTTAGTGTTTATGTAGCTATTTTCTTTTTGAAACTCATTAATTAAGATGGGTTTTCAAAATTAAAATTTAAAGGAATTTCAACTTAATATTACTCTATTCGATATGAATTTTGATTTGATTTGGAAAGTTTATACAAATTCCGTAAGTTTAAATTTTATAAATAATTGCAATTTCCAAATGAAGATGCGTGTTTCTTAATTCCAGGTTATTAGTTTTTATGCGGAAAATGGCAAATATTATGCGGAGTTGGTTCCAATTATTTCAGTAAAAGACGGAAAGGTCAGACAGCAATTCAATGTCAGCGATACTGCTGCTCGGCGGCGAAAACGTGCGGACTTGAGCTTGACCGCGACTGCAAACTTTGGAATGGAAAGAGATGTACAGGTAGGTTCGTGAATTAAACATCAGAAATTATTCAGTTTGTGAATTTCTTTCCCAATGCGTATAAACAACAAAATTCACTATTATATATATAATTGTAACTATTATAGATGATCAAACGCGGATAGAAATAGTATTTCCTCGGAAGGTACTTACCTGAAGGAGAGATATGGTTCTCCGAACTCTTTCGAAGACTGATACGAGCAACACCGCGGAAAAACGCATGTTTGGGGCACAAAAAAGATGGCGAGGGATTTAAATGCCAAATTGTAAACAAAAACACGACTTCGAAATTTTTTGCAAAATTATTCAAAACAAAAATTCAAACTCAAAAGTTAAGAAAACTCTCGAAAAGTTAAGCTTCTTAACCCACTCAAATTGTAGAATAAATCCTAAAGTTTAATTATTGTGAACACGAAAATTTTTTATATTTGGCGACACAGTTTTTTTTAAAGAAATGTATCTCAAACGAAAATTCGGAAATTGTCGTTGCTTAGTTGATAAACAAAATGTTTCAGACGATAAATTTGTCAACAATCACCTTTAGTTCATTGTCTTGTACAATACAATTTCTTGAACCTTCTGGATATATTTATTCCTAGTTTTTAGAATGACATGTTTATTTTTTGCGCTCGAAATCTGGCTGTAAAGACACACAATGAAGTCACTCCTTTTTACCGCCATTTTGAGCCTTCGGAAACGTTTGGAACAGCTTCTCATTAAGTTCGCAATACTATTACAGGTAAGGTTGACGCATGCGCAGACGTTTTTCCGCGGTGTTCTTGACATCACGTTCGCAATACATATTTCAGTAATGTTGACGCATGCGCAGACGTTTTTCCGCGGTGTTGATACGAGCAATACTGGTTTTAATCCATTTATACGCATGCATACTGACATCCTCTGATTGAGAAGCAAGCTGAATATTGATTAACAGACTAGGGTGGGGTGGTGTTGGTATCTACCACCATTGGTACGGGGAACAGTATTGCTCGTATCAGTCTTCGAAGGAGTTTGGAGAACCATATCTCCCCTTCAGGTAAGTACCTTCCGAGGAAATACTATTTCTCCTTCACTCATTCTCCGACTGATACTCACAATACTGGTGCAGATTTCAAAGACAACTGTTAATCAATGTATATATAAAATTTTAATCCGAAATGAACACAAAACAATTGATATCAACATCACATTTCCAAAAGTCGTTGACTAATGTATCTTGGAATGAAAACATGCAGTGATGTCATTTTTGTACCGCATACGAGCTGTTCGATTAACATACTGTTTCAGACTCTCAATAACACAAATCTTTTGGTTTTCTGGTAAGGATGGAAGATTAATCTTTCTTGCTGGGTGATTCGGCCGAGAATTCTTTAGATGTTTATAGGTATTACAAACTCCCAACCGTTCTCCTTTTGAGATACATAATCCAAGTGCCATGCTGCGAGTTCGTGAGCCCTGGATGAAGATGTAAAAGCCAACAGGATAGTCGTTTTAAGAGTCAACTCTTTAAGTGAGAGGTTCTCGTTTGGTTCCATATTCTTCAAATGCTCTAATAATGTCCCAACTGACCAGCTTACGCATATATCTTGGGTGTTGGTGGACGAACTTCAAAGACACCTTTCATTAAACGGGATAAGAGCGGAAGAGTTCCCAGTGGTTGTCCATCTATTGGATCATGTAGTTGAAATATGCATGATTTGTAAACACCGACAGTTCGGTATGAAAGCTTTCGAGTATGAAACTGTTCAGTCAAAAACTGTAAAACCTCTGCTACAGTGACTGAAAAGGGACATTGATTCCGTGAGACACACCAGCTAGTCCAAAGTCTCCAAGGACCTTCATATCTCTTGTTCGTTCCTTCTCTCCAGGAGGCCATAAGGATGTCACAAACTTGCGGTGGAAGACCTCCTGCTCGACAACGTTCCCTGAAAGTGGCCCGAGTACCGCCAGCTTTCGGGTATATCATATAGGTCAGGGAAATAAGATAACCGATAAGAAAGACATAGTTGACGAGTTCACCAAGTTTTTTACGTTCATATAGGTCCTAATTAGGCTAATAATATCACTGATAGTGACATTAGTCCACATCCTCTGTCATACATGAATCATTCTACAAATGCTTTTTCCTTTGAAAATATATCAATTCATGATATAAAAAGAGAAATTAAAAATTTGGAAATTGGAAAATCGACTGCATGGTCTAGACAAAATTTCAACTAAGCTAGTGAAACAGGCTGATGAGACAATATTTGAATCACTTGTATATATATTTGCTAAAACTGTCTGTACCAGTGTGGGTTGTACCAATGTGAAAATGCTGTGCTGAGTGGTTATATTACTACCTTAAAAAATAAGCAGAAACTCGACGTTTCGAGCGAAGGCCCTTCGTCAAGAGTTAGTAGCAGGGATCGGGGAAAATGCACGGGCTTTTATACTAAGAGTATGAAAGCATCACGTGACAAAAAATAAACCAATTAGATGGATTTAATCATAACAAAGTGTAAACAAAATATGTAAATCGCATTACAGAATATAATATAATAAAAATATGTATATATATATAAAAATAATATAAAAATAAACAGGAAGCTAAGACAATTACTACAAATAATAAAAAATCAAAAATCAAAACAAAAGTGGGAATAAAGTAAAAGTAATAAATAGATAAATGTTGTCAATGTCTGCTATAGCTCTTGTCATGTCGTTGTCTGTCTATAGCAGACATTGACAACATTTATCTATTTGTTACTTTTACCTTATTCCCACTTTTGTTTTGATTTTTGATTTTTTATTATTTGTAGTAATTGTCTTAGCTTCCTGTTTATTTTTATATATATTTTTTATTATATTTTGTTCTGTAATGCGATTACATATTTTGTTTACACTTTGTTATGATTAAATCCATCTAATTGGTTTATTTTTTGTCACGTGGTGCTTTCATACTCTTAGTATAAAAGCCCGAGCATTTTCCCCGATCCCTGCTTCTAACTCTTGACGAAGGGCCTTCGCTCGAAACGTCGAGTTTCTGCTTATTTTTTAAGATAGTAATATAACCACTTAGCACAGCATTTTTTTATATATATTTAACCTGTCACTTGAAATAGGAATATTTCCTGATGATTGGAAACTTGCAAAGGTAACTCCAATATATAAAACTGATAACAAAATGCTTTGTGGAAACTATAGACCAATATCAGTCATTTCCAGCATCGCAAAAATATTTGAAAAACTGGTCAGCAAACAACTAAATACCTTTCTAGACCACAATGATATAATTGTTAACAACCAATCAGGTTTTCGTCGTTATGACTCCACAGAAACCTCACTACTTCAATCTACAGAAATGTGGCTAAAGTCAATGGACCAAAGTTTAATTAATGGGGTTATATTTTTAGACCTTAAAAAGGCGTTCGATACAATTGACCACCAGATCCTATTAACAAAACTTGAAGCTTATGGAGTGCGTGGTACTGCACTTAAATGGTTTCAGTCGTATTTGGATCAAAGAAAGCAAATATGCGTTCTAAATAATTGTAGGTCAAATATTCAAGCAATTCATTGTGGGGTACCCCAAGGATCTAACCTTGGTCCAAAGGTCGTAGGTTCGATTCCCACTGTGGCCAGGCATATTTTTCAAGCGTGCCCGGTGTGGATATGCACTCAGAGTAACATCACACAAGCATCTTATTCACCTGAGTACATTACACCAACACAGCAAATACCATGCAAATCTATTTGCAGATGACACAACTCTATCATGTCAAGGAAATTCATTTACTTTCAAGTAAACTCAACAATGATCGAAAAAATTAACAATAAACGTTAAAAAAACTAAATATTTGATTATTGAAAACTTGAAGTCACATGCCAAATATCACAATTAACGGACACCAAATCGACCGTGTCTATAAAAAAAGAGGTTCTAGGTATTACTATTGACGACAAACTTAACTGGAGTAAACAAAATGAAGAACAATATAAAAAGATCTCAAGTAATATTAATCTATTAAGAAATGCCAAAGATTTCGTAGACTTAGACAAACATAAAATAATGTAAAATGCATTAGTGATGCCTCATTTCATCTGTTGTTCAACTGTGTGGCAAAATAATAATCAAGCACACCTAGATTAACTTTACAAGCTACAAAAACGAGCTGCTAGGATTATAACGAATTCATATTATACAGTAGTACAAGGTCCTCGCTAATATTTCAAAACCTTGGTTGGAAACCTCTTGAATTAATCCTAAAAAAGCGAGATCTTTTCATAACATTTAAAGCGCTAAAAGGAATGCTTCCAAACTATATATCACAATTATTTCATACTTGTGAAAATAGCGACTACGATCTGCGCAGCAATAACTTTAAATTGTCCCAAAGGAAACCAAAAACAAATTTTTTAAAGAATAGCTTTTCCTATAGAGGAGCAGCGGCTTGGAATAACATCCCAATAAATAGTCTAAATATTCTAAAAGAAACAACTAGTCTAACAGCCTTCCATAATATAATAGATGGTTGTTTCAATTCCTTACAATAATTTACAGTACCTTCATAAAATATGTCTGTTTATTAACATAATTGTTTCATTATATATATTTGTAAATACATTAATTAATTAATTTATTAATTAATTAATTAATTAATTGTTTTTAGTAATGCAATTGTCCACACGGCCCTTTGAAAATCACTCTTTGTGAAAGGCTACCGTGTTTTTAAATAAGATTAATAATAATAATAATTTCTTCTCCACAGAGGGTGTTGCGCTTCCCGGTCGAAAGGTAGATATAGACTTGTATCCGTCATTGGGAGAAGGGACGGGATGTTGACCAACATCTCAAATAGTAGCGGATACCAGGTCTGGCCCGGCCAGTTCGGGGCAATGAGTAGACAGGTTGCCTGATCTTTTCGTATCTTCTTCAGAATGCGAGGCAGCATTATAACCGGCGCAAAAATGAACGATGTCCATCTGTTCCAATGCAATGTCATTGCATCGACCTCCATTGTGTCGGGGAACATACTGAGTGTCGGGGAACATAGGGGGGTAGTTGATGATTGAGCCGAGATGCAAACAAGTCGATATATGGAGTCTAATACTCAATATGCGTGTGAAGATCGCCTTGTCTAGAGTCCACTCCGTGCGTTCGTTGAAGTGACGAGAAGCCCAGTCCGCGTCGATCTTCTGTACTCCCGAAAGGTGTTGTGCTGTTATCCATATTCCTTTCTGTTGACAAACGTTCCAAAGTCGAAGACCTTGTTCCCCCTCTCTTGTTGACCTATGCAACTGCTGTAAAGTTGTCCGTCTGCAAACCAATATGTTGTGGCATTTTTACCTGTGTCGTCAGAAACGACTGGATGGCCAGAAGGGCTGCTTTCATTTCGAGAATTTTGATGTGTTGTCTGGATTCTTGGATGTTCCATCGTCCCTCCTGTCATGACTCCGTTGCACTGTGCTCCATTCTTGATTGGACGCGTCGTCGGTGTATCTGCGTCGAAATCCACCATTGGAGGTCGGTTAGTGATTCTCTTGTCAGATAGACTTTTGCCTTGTTCAAGAGACGTTTGCTCTGGTGAATGCTGTTGATATGTTGCCTCTGTAGAGCACGATAATGCAAGGATCCCTGGGCTAGACCCACTTGGGAGCAATGGTTCATTCTGCCTAATAAAGCCGAGAGTTCTTTCAGGGTCAGCCAGCGATTCTGGTTTGCATTCTTGCACTCTATTTGGAGCTTTAGGAGTTTGTCGTTGGGTACAGCTTGTGTCATCTCCCTCGAGTTGATCAAGGATCCCAGGAACTCTAGACACTGGGACCCATGGGGCTTGAGAGCATTTTTCTTGTTTAATGAGAAATCCCAGATGTTGTAGTAGATTGACAACACTCCGAAAAATTGACGACAGTCTTTCTGGGCTTTGGTCCAGAATAAGCTTATCGTCCAGATATATTAAAATCCGTATTCCTTGTATTCGTAGCAATACCATGATCGGTTTCAATAGTTTTGTAAATGTATTGGTCGCACTGGATAGCCCGAATGGTAGGCATTGGAACTCGTATGTTATTCGTTGGAAAGCAAACCTCAGATATTTTTGTGACTGTTGTGCATCGGTACGAAAAAATAGGCGTTTTGGAGATCTAACTTCATCATGAAGGCTCCTGGTTGGATCAGTTTGCGTACTGCTTCCAGACCTTCCATCTTGAATTTCTGAGATTGGACAAAGCGATTGAGATTCTTTAAAATGAAAATTTGCCTATCCTTGGACACTTGTTTCACTATGAACAGTGTTGAAGTGAATTGGTTTGTCTCCTCCTGTACAGCTTTTGCTGCACCTTTCGCTTGGAGTTGTAATATGGATTCTTTTATAGAGTCCTCTTTCGACTTTGCTTTTGTTTGTCTCTGTCTCCACTGTATGGATTGACGAACAAAGGGAATTTTGTACCCTTGAACTATGGATAGAATCCAGGGATTTGATGTAATTCGTGTCCAGTTTGAATACAAATGTTTGATGTGGCCTGCTACAAGATTGTCCGTTGGTTTGATGTCCTTTAGTGTTGGTAGCTGATAGTCAGCTGCGTTTTGCGTGGTTTCCACGTTTTGTCCAATATAGGGTTTGTTGTTGTTTTGATTCTTTCTGAAGGACTTGTTGATTTGAAAACGCCCTCTGGAGGAGGAAAACCTTTGAGGTTTGGTTGATTGTGCCACTAATTTGCGATTGGTGTTTGCATGATCATGTTCCTCTTTAATTACATTATGAAATTGCTCGGGGAACAGGTACTTGTCAGCTGGAATTTGGTCTTTCAGGGTACGCTTACCCACATCCGTTAAGTATTCTGCAAAACGTTTTTGGCGCCAAATGTTTAGTCGACAATGTGTCTTTTGTTCGGGACTGACCATGGACACGTTTGATGTCCTCTTTCATCCCTGTTAGCATTATGGGTGAAACTAGGCAATCAGCTGTTCCTTTAATGTCAGGGTATTGTTCCATGACATTCGTCCAAACTTCTTTGGGCAGTTGCTTGGTAAATGTAGATTTGAGAAATGAAGTTATTGTAATTCTTCAGAAATGGTAGCTTCTGGTGCTAGTGCATAATACTTGTTGGAACGACTAGAACTGACAGAAGCTGGTGGTGTGTCACTATCAACTACTTTGGCTCTTTTAGGTTGTGGTTGTTCCACAGCGATATTTTCATGGGAACCATTAGGCTCTGGTGTCATAAAAGCATTTCTTAAAATGTCTGGTAGAGTCCTTTTTAATGTCTCAGTGACTTTGTCGTCGATCAGAGAACTTAGTTGATCTCGTATCCAGGGTCTTTCCTCTTGGCGAGGGGACAAAAGAACCTGGTTGACGCTGGTTACGTGATCTGCTAAAATCTAGCAGATTTTTAATTAGCAATCCAAGATGAGGTAAATAAATATTTGAATATTTGGATAATTTTTATAGTTTAATTACTAATTTGCGTTTTGTATGATTGTCGTAAAGGAATCCAAGATAGTTAATTAGAAATCTGCTAGATTTTAGCACATCACGTGACCAGCGTCTACCAGGGTCTTTTCTTCCCAAGAGGAAAGACCTGAGTACGAGGTTGCTGGTATCCTCAATAAGCATATTGTCTGGTTCCTGCGAGATCGACGTGATTTTTACAACATTTTATGGATAATAGATCAAATATTTCTGTAAAGTATAACTATATACTATCGATACCTGCAGGAGATAAACTCAAAAAATAAAACCCAAACTTGACGAAAATAATTAAAATATTCGATCAGGGCGACGTATATAACCATAGGCATAGTAAATGTAAACGTATTAAACAATTAAGATGCAAAGTTTTACCTTAATATTATTCGATATAAAACTTTTTTAAATGTATATGCATAAAAATAGAGAAAATTGTTCCGGATGGATGACTTTTTTGAAGGATTTTGAAGCGAATTTAGTGAGTTAAACAAACCGAAGCTTGCCCACGGAAAAAGAGGATGTCAGTACGCATGCGTATAAATTCATTAAAATCTTGGGTTCCAAACCGCCGCGCGCCGCGAACTGCACCAGTATTGTGAGTATCAGTCGGAGAAGGAGTGAAGGAGAATTCGATGATTTTTGTTGTTATTCGACATTTACTGCACAAGCTTCCTTCTAAATAAAGTCTCTATTCAGTAAGGACAGAAATTAGTTTGAACCTGTTTTTATTTATTCTAAAGACTTATAAAAAAGATTGTCTGCATGCATGCAATAACATTCTCGTAGAAGATCAGTTATAACCTGGCACATATTTGGTCTATACTACTTCGTTATAAAGTTAACTTGCATTATAGGTTGGGAAACATCTAAAAGTAAGTGGAAGTGTCAAGTTTAATGCAGGGGTGAAAATCAACCTTCATATATCCTATCTGAAACTGCAATCGGTTGGTGTAATCTTGTCTGGTGAAATGAAAATAGACCTCAATTGCAATTTTGATCCTTCTGCAAGGTAGGCCCTAAGTATACGAGCATTATTAAAGTTATTGTTTTCCAGCGCATTAAAATTGAAACGTTAACACTATTTTCAAATGCTCTGGAAATATGGAAGACGAATGTGAAGCTCACAAATTCTAGGCGCCGTGAAGAGATAATCGGATTCTTGGGAACTTTAGCCAGAAGGATGCCAGAAGTCACCGAACGGGTTGGATTATTAGAAGAAATGTTTGTTAGCCACTGAGCAATTTTGCAATTGACACCCGTCTAAGTCCTATACTTCGTAAAGCCCGAAGCATTCTCCCCGGAATGCCGTGTGTCTACTGCGTGTAGGTCGACCAACGGTTCCATATCTCAATCGATTACAGTGATATCTCGATTATACGTTTATAGTGAATGGCCCTTCCAGGTAATGTATCCATTTTTGAAAATGGATAAAGCTAACAAACATTTCTTCTAATAACTTCTGGCATCTTTCTGCATGGCTAAAGTTCTCAAGAATCAAATTATTTCTTTAAGGCGCCTGCTGTATACTTCACAAATATTAATGTCGTCTGTGAATTTGTGAGCCTCGCATTCTTCATTTAAAGCTGGTAATCCTCGCAAAACCCTTTCTATTTCGCCTTCCATATTTCCAGAACATTCGATAATGGCGTCCGATTATTTTGTAATTGTTTTAAAGCCTTCATATATAGTTATGCATTATATAAGCGAATTCAAATTTCTTACGCCCAGAACGTTGTCTTACGTAAGTCTTGCAAAAGTCTTACGCACAGAACGTTGAGTTTATAGACAACATGTAAGCAAGTGCTATTGTATACGGACTTTACTATAAAATATAATTAATAATAATACTCTTATAATTACGGCCAAGAAGTCTTACGCGGAACACAATTATCAGTCTTACGCGGACCATATTTATAGAAGTCATATATATACGGGCCAAATTTGGAAGTCATATGGGCAGGCAATATTTATACGGGCCACGTAGATTTAGGCTATAAGTCCTACGCCAACGTGGTTTAGAAGTCATATACGGGCAAAATTTAGAAGTCATACATGCAGGCGAGGTAGCTATAAATCATTTATACATTAGGCATTTCAGGCGTAGTTTATACGATTACAGGCGATGTTTACAGGTGTACTCTATATTACATGGATATTTCTAAGTGTTGTGCACAGTTATAGTACAGTAGCCGGTTTACACGCGAAGCATGATGTTTTATACGCGTGTATTATTTATAAGCCTTGCGAGAATATTGATAACATAAGGTATACGCACGAGAGAAGTTTTACGTAAATAATCCTAACGTAATTATTTTTGGCTAGTATAGCGTTCCATAATATTCAAATTATTTTCTATTATCCAAAAACTTTATATGAAAACAAGAGCGACGCTATACGGTACTTTCATGAAAGAATTGTACGGCTTGAAATATTTTTTCAACACGACGTTTGACGATAAAAACTCTTCAGAAACACTGCAAAACGTTTTATAAATGTTATACTGGTTGTATTTTATATTAAATCGTATCGAAGCTTATATTGCGCATAATTTTGTCAAAAAACATAAAAAGAAATAGGTTGTGTTACCATGACAACAACTTCGAAATACTTCATGTTTGGAAAATAAACTTGCTCTTTAACAAGGTTAGGGGTTTTTGCATGCATGCATTTCTAGTATACAATCGTTATATTTTGCATTTTTTTTGTTATGTATAGTTATTCAATTGTGAAAAGCAAAAAACTGGTCAACAAGGAAGTTGGACGTTTTTGCATTCCTCTTCTGGCCTTTGTATGTGTACCTGGAGTATTTAGATTTGATGTTGGTGTTTCAGCAAGTGCTTCATCTTCGGTAAATATCATACAGCATGCATTCCCTGCATGCATGAATTTCTAATTCAACAAAGTACGCAAGATTGAATTCATGGCCATGCTAGGCAGATCTGTCTAAAGGGCCTTAATTTTTCGTATTATATATTTCGTATTATATTCTTATGTTCATTCGGGTTTTTGTGCACCTTAATTAACAGCTTATTGTCTTTTACTGAGCGCAATGACTCAGAAAATGCGTCTATTATAATTATTAACATTTTTCTTTCTTTTTTTCCGCATCGTTCACGCACACTTCATATTCTATTGTCTCTGCGTGCTCCTTTATTGCCGACTCGATTTGTGGCCTTGTGTCTGGTTTGTGCTCCGCCCAACGCGACTTCCAGCCTCTTTTACTCTCCCAAACGTAAACAAAGTTGCAGGATCAACTTTGGGGTTTCCACGGTTTTGAGATCCAACCGTGTTCAACCGTGTTCTACTGTTCGTCTGGTTCTGTTTGCGGCTTAATTTGTTTATAAAAACTGACGTATATTCATCAGTCTTTAAGGCTCTACGAACAATCTCCTTCTCCATTTCTTGTCCCTGCATGCGTAGTAGTTGGAATGATGTTTGCGAGGTGATATAAAGTTTTTACCACCGCCGCTTTATTCTGCTCCAGATTACGCGAATCAAAGCATATGAAGCCCAATAATTAGTGGTAATAGGCATAAAAATGACTAAAATAGTTTAAAATTCAATAAAATTTTATTGTGTTACCGTGAAAATATTCTACAAACTGTTTTTTGTAGCCATAAGGTGTGAAATAACCATGCGATGCTCAATCTCTGATTCGCATGCAGTGGCGTAGTAGCGTATAGTGACGTATAACTCTTTTTAGTATAATTACCTCCGCCGGGAGGTTATGTAATCATCTGGGTTTGTATGTGTGTGTGTGTGTGTGTATGTGTGTGTGTATGTGTGTGTGTGTGTATGTGTGTGTGTGTGTGTATGTGTGTGTGTTTGTCTGTGAGCACGATAACTCAAGAAATACCAAACATATCCGTACGAAATTTTTTGAATGCATTTCCCATCGGCTAAGGAAGAACTGATTAAAATTTGGTTGAATTTGGTTAAAAATTGAACGAGAAATGAACAAAATTTTGTCTTGCTTTTCCCGGTCAATTAACAAAATATATTACTGAATGCGTAATTAGGACGTGTATAATTTATGCACTCAGTGCTAAGACAGTAATGAGATGATAAACCTCATTAAGCTTCGGCCTTCATTATCTATTGTCTTAGTTGCATTTCACGCGACCGAAATTCAATGTCTAAAACAAGGCTTACGGAGTTACGCATTATTACGTTCAGCAAAGTGCCAGTCCATTCAAATTCTAACAACATTAGATTACTTCAATACAGGGTGTATAAAAAGAACGCAACCTCGGAATTTCCCAAGAAATCGACATTGTTTTAAAGACAAAAGATTTTAGCTGCCTGGGAATTTAAAATACCACAACTGTGAAAATTACTGCACGCGCGAGTGCATAAAGCAAAATTTGTGCATTTATTTAATGACACTTAAAAAGTTTTTATTTTAATTACAAGTACTGTACAGTACAACAACAGTAATATTGTTCTATTAGCAATTCGATTTCAATTGCGGGGGCCTGAAATCTTTTATGCTTAAGAATTATAAAGTGGATTTCTTAGGAAATTCCAAGGTTGCGTTTCACTTCCGAGTAACGGGCGGAGGTATGCAGTCTCTGAGTGCCCTCTAGTTACATAGGTGATTATTGAAAATTCTCCACGCTGATTGGTTGCCGATGAGGTGATTATTACGCGATATAGGGTAGAAAGGCAATAATATTTTGATATTATGGCAAAACAACATGAAAACTTCAAAAAATTATAGCCGAGAAAACTTTGATACTCGAACAACATATGCATTACTGTGAAAAAATTATTTTAAAAACCAAATGTAGAAAAAATGTGCAAAACTTTTGCTAATTTGCCGATAAATTTCGTGGCACGATGCTGGAGGCAAATTGCAAAATGCGATTCCTATGGCGAATCTGATTGGTCGAAAAAGTAAACAAACTCGCGAAAGTTTTCAATAGTTTTCTCCGTTATAATTTTTCTGAAGTTTTCATGTTGTTTTGACGTAAAATTTTGGTTGTGAAATGCGCATAATATATGCTTGTGTATATTGGCAAAAGAGTTGCCTTCCTTCCCTATTATAAAGACTTATACGACACTATACGGCACTGCGAATCAGAGATTGAGCATTGCATGGTTTAAATCCACATCTATGGCTACAAAAACAGTTGGTAGAATATTTTCACGGTAACACAATGAAATTTTATTGAATTTTAAACTATTTTAGTCATTTTTATGCCTATATATACCACTAATTATTGGGCCTCCTATGATCAAAGGGTATATAAATACCTGTCGTGTCCATGGTTTTCGACGGACTGCGATCATTATTTCGCCTCTAGCTGAAACTAACAAGTAAGTTAAAAGTTTTGACGTGGTATAAGTTGGTGATCCTACGCAGCTGTTTCGACCATTACAAAAAGAAGAAAGGAGATATGGATTTTATGTTCGAGTGGCAAAAACAATATCTCACGAGTGGGCGCAGCGAACGAGTGAGATATTGTTTTTGACACGAGAACATAAATCCATATCTTCTCGCAACCGTTTAATGTTCTGTTTATTATATGGACTTATTCAGAGTGACAAAAATACACACAAAGTCAAAGACGACATGTAAATAAGCACGCGCAAGATCAGTATAAAAGCGATATTTTTAAAATTATAGTGCAAAGATAAAACTAGAATAAATTTTACTTATCTCAAGATGTCTATTAAATGTTTTCGTTTTATTTCCAACGTTAATTTCGTTTTATATACGAATCAAAGACCATTTGTATTTTCAAAACAACAACAACGAAAATGGCGCCGAGAAATTTTCAAACTTCGTATGTCACTAGCAAGCGTGAAATACGTAAAACACGCGCACCTGGTCCCAGATGTAGTGGCATATATGAGTTCTACGAGTGTTTTAATTTCCAGTAAAACACCATTTTCTGCCAGTGGTATTTTGTGCACTCTCTGGAGGCCATAAAACGACACGGCGATAGAATCAAAATCCAGCAGCTCTTCGGCAATACAGCGCTTTCATCATGACTCAAACGTTTGATGACAATTCCCATGCAATAATTATAAGTAATAGCATGGCATTCAGGGCGATTAGTGATTAAACGTACCCGAAAGCCGAGAGAGGCATGCGCATAAACGGAATTTTCTCCCACAATTGTAATGTTCAAGATTAGGGAATAAAAGCTGGCAAAGTGATTGTTCGAATGTGTACGGGACGGTGTCGTCAGATACTGTCCATAGTTGTGCCGATGATTTTCGATGAAGTACAGCTCTCCAATCAGAGGTAATGAGGTACGCGGGGAAATTTACTTAATTTAGTTGAAAACAAAGGATTTCTTTGTCTTCTAATGCTTGATGAGGGAAATTTAGAAGACAAAAGCGTATGCATGGGTAATGAGGTAAATTAGTGATTAATCGTACCTCGCGAGACAAAGGATTTCGAGGCAACTATGGTATTACGATAAGTAGACAGGCTCAACCATGCAGCTCTCCTATAGTGATTTTAATTTCCACACTAGTCGGGAGAGGTTGTAACTGAAGAAAACGGCACGACCATCTTTATGCAGAAAACACTTGATGGATTAAAAGCATGCATTTATTTCTAAAGAAAAATATTTTTAAAAAGACCATAACGAAATTATGTTTTAACGTTGTGTGCCTAGGGGGGCCCGGGGGCAGGAGCCTCCAGAAAATTTTTAAATTTAGAGTCCCTGAATTGCCATTTCCTGGACTTTGGGGGAAGATTTGACAGAAATCTGATGTTCAGGAAACGGTATTATAACGTGTCGAAATTTGCAATTTGGTTAGAATTTAGTAGTAGTACTTAAACTGATTAGTACAGAATCGGTTTTACTATAAATCTTTATTTTATATTAATTTATAGAGGAATAAAGTCACTCGTTGAGTATATTTCAGCATGAGCTCCACCTTTGAATTTACTATATGAGTAAATTCTTAAACACGCCCGAATTTATCATTATGATAAATTCGCGGCACATTTTGAATTTATCATAATAATAAATTCGCGGCACCTAACCCTAACCCTAACCACTAACCCCTAACCCTAACTTTTTTAACTTTTTTAACTTTTTGAAAATCTAACTTTTTAAACTCTTTTTGCCTTTTAAAACTCTTTTAAAACTTTTTTAAAAACTATTTTTTTGAAAATAGTGGAAATTATAATGATAAATTGAAAATAGTGGAAATTATAATGTTATCATAATGATAAATTCGGACGTGTTTAAGAATTTACTCGTATAGTAAATTCAAAGGTGGAGCTCATGTTGGTATATTTGCATAAAATATTTGATTATATTAAACGCCGATCTCACTAATAACTAGTCCCCGAGCTGACGACGCGAAGCGCCGTGCGAGGGTACTAATTCGCCCCAGCTATTTACACCCGGGGAAACGAAAGCATTAGTGAAGTCTAAAGTTCATCAATAATCGCGGGCGTGGCTCACCAACGATGTTTCGGTGGGTGATCATCCTTACTGATCTCAAAAATATGGCGGACTGTCATGAATAGCGGACACTGATTGTTCCAATTTAAAGTTTGCATTATAACGACTGCATGACGACAGCGAAAATGCGAAATAGCAAACATTTCTTGATTTGATGATTGATACATTTCTTGCAAATATATTTCATTTTTGCTTGCATTTTTCCAAGATTTTGTAAATTTCAAAGGCTTTCTCAGAAAGAAAGGGCGAAAGAATCGGCTAAAAGAAGGGAGCCAACGTTAACGAATGTAAGTTTGTTTTAAATATTGATTGTATAATTGCTTTAATATGAAACAACTAAACAAGACAGCATATAATTTCAGTGTATCTTTAATATTGATTCCCTTTTTTATTATATTGAATTTTTTAAATAAAAAAGAAAACCAAGTTATTTGCATGCGAGAATTTGAAATCATTTAGATACTTCATGTTTGGAAAATGCAATGGTTTTGTCAGCAAGGCGAGGGTTTCTGCATGCATGTATTTTCTAGTAATGTTTTACTAAAAAGTGTGCTTGCACTTTATTGTAGACTTGGATCAAGTCCGTCTCTCCAGCATCCGAGTCGCGAAGCGACGAGATCGAGCTTGCCGCGGCGCGCGAGATACTTTATTGTTACGAATCTTCATAGTTTTAATAGTTAGAATTAGACTTAATAGTTAGACTTAGACTTAATAGTTAATATTATATCACGTGTTGTGGCGAATGTTGATAACGTCAAATATTGCCCATATTGCATGACCGAGTATGGTCTTATGAAATGTCAAATCGCATGTTCTCTAATGTCTTTAATGTTACTCGAAAATCCAAGTAATATATTCGATATTCAATAACGATTGTCAATTTCTAGTATTTCTAAAAAATTTCATATAAGCGCCTTCGACAATTCTGATGTCAGACCTCCAAAGGCGGCAATAATCTGCTCCTTGTCCAAGGACATTAAAATCTTCCGTTCAGTGATCATAAGTAGCAACGCTCCAAGTCTTTCTTGAGATATAGACGAACGTATGCGAGTTTTTACTCTCTTATATATATAAGAGCAGAGAAAGAGCGCTCTGGAGTTGCAGTTACTTTACAAAGAGTTGGAAATGCATCAAGTAAGTGGTAATCAGGATTCAACAAAATTCTCAGAGCCTCTATAAATGATGGTTTATCCTTGTCCTTTGGTTCTTCAGCAGTTCCGTTGTCGCTTGACTCGCTGTCGGCTTCTTTTTCGTGGTCTTCGGTTTCAGATTCAGAACCGGAGTCTAAATCAGAATCTTGCTCTTCTTTGTCTTCATCAAAACGCACTGAACACGCACTTGAATTTTTGAAAAGATTCTGCAAGGTTGAACAGTTCATCTGCACATCGGTGCGGGTCGATGTGGTACATCGTGCAGAAGCTTCATACTTTGGCTTCCAGATCGGCGCCCCCTTTTCATTTTTGTGCCCCCCAAGAATTGCCAGCTGGGAGGGCCGTGACCCCCTCCCCCCTGCTAGCACGCCACTGTACGCAACAATGGAAGACGCGATATTTAGATGACAGGAAAATATTTACAATAACCAGGAGACATGCATTAACGTATAAACGTCCTACGATTTTTATAGGCTGCTGCTTCCATATCTGCAAGCTTAACATCAACATACTCTATATCAGCCGGTGGTATATGGAGAAACCAGCATGGAGTTGAACGAATTTTTAATCAGGTACGAAAGAACTGCTATATATTCGAGCTCTTCCTGATAGTTAACTTATAATGATAACTATATGCGATCAGTGCAGTTCAACTTATCGCGTATATAGTCATCATTAATGATGATATCATGATAAACCTATTAATTTGCTGAGATGACAACAGTTGTAGAAATGAATGACTGTGCAATGCATATACTGTCGTTCAAATCTGAATTTCCAAACTACATTATTTTACGAAATCATTAACGCAAAGCTAAAAGGAAATTTTTGAAAGTAATTTTATAATTTTTTCTTCAAATATTAAATGAAAATAGTAACGTGAATTGAGTAATATCTTGTCTGTTTTTCCGATCTCCATAAAGAAGAATTAAAGGAGGATATATATATTTAGGGAGGATCTACCCAACCATCATTTAAAGCTCGCATCAAGGAAGCTTCCGCATCCGTGTCAGCATCTCTAACGCCGACTTTTGAAGTACACTGGCCATCAGTAATTCCGAAAAGATTAAGACGACTGGCAGTAACAGTTCTTAGAAAAATATTGGGTATTGTATATACTATGTGCTTGTTGAAGATACTAGACAGTTGAGCACTGACGTTGCTTTAGGTTGATCGACGACATATTTTAAAAAGTAAAATTATGTAGCTGAGTGAGTTTTTATAACTTTGCATAGAAAATTAGTACAAGTAAAATGATGAAACAACCAGATACCAAATTCTAACCTTGCCGTTCACCTCATTTTAGATGTTAAGAGAGGCACATCTATTCCATCTCTGTTCGTGTTTAGCGTAACTGCACCAATTGAAACGTCGCTTGATGCTAAATTCTGTACTGAAAAATGTCCAGATGCAGGTCGAAATATTGAAGCTAGTTTCCGTGGAGGATTGCCGGCTGTCACTGGATCTTTAACCCTCAACATTGGGAAGTTCAATAAAAAGTGGAAAGTTTTTAATATTCCTGTGTACGAGTATGCTAACAGGTACTATAAACAATTGAACAATTTTATATTTGGACTGAGGCACACACTGATAGAAATCCCGTACAATTTTGTAGTATATGTATAATTATGCATGCATGCATATGGCAGGGCATTTTCTGGACATGCATGCAGTGTAAACATATAAACAGCGCACGCTACTCAACCATTATATGAATTATATAGAGAGCTTAAAGATTAAGCAAGCGACGTTTTTGATCATAGAAATAATAGATAAAGAATGTGTACTTGATCACGAATCATGCATGTCTCCATTTTTTTCATGCGTACATGGCCTTTCCGATCTGCCATATAGAACGTTTGCACATGACGTCACAGCAGCCATGTTGGTGTTTCAATTCAAAAGAATTTAAATTATAGACTCTTTTGTCTGGAACACCAACATGGCCGCCATGTCTTTTGTTGAGTTGGTCCCTGGGAAATGAGTGCAAACGCTCTATTAGCTAAATCTGACTAACTCCAACCGGAAATTTTAAGCCAAACTTGAAGGACAGTCTCAGTCTTTTCTGATTTCACGCACGTGAAGAGCGCTCAATCAGTAAATCATGCATGTCTAATACGCGTGTCTGTAGTTTGCCTTGGCTTCTCGAAAAAAATAGGCATTTTTTCCGAAGGTAGCGTTCCAGTTATGTTCATTTCAATGGACTAGGAGTGAGAATTACAAAGTATAAACAAAGCTAAGACTAAGTTTTCATCGTCGAAAAGTTTTGTCTTGCTGTCTAGTTTGCAGTTTGGCGTCAGATTTTGAAATTATTAAGTTCTTTGAAGGCACTTCTGGTAATGTAAGTGCTGTATATCAGTTATGGCTTGTTCATTTACAAAAACGGTGAAAATCCTTGTAAAAACAAAGTATAATTTCGTGTAATCATAATTCTTGGGCTAAAGGAAGTACTGTATCTCAAATCTAGTTCGCAACACTGGAGTTTTTAGGAATTTAATTAAGCATGGAGCAAAAATATTAATACTTATTTACCGTTTATAAGGTCACCCCGTACTTGAAAACTATTAATTTTTCCCCCGGTCTTCTGTGACGTTGGGAAAATATTGTCAGTACGGACCTCCCAGCCGGTAAATAACATATTAGTATTTAACTTATTTAGATGCAGGTTTATTAACATAGCTGCAGCACCAGTTTCAATGGCATGGCGCGTCGCCACTGATTGAGTATCGAGTTTGTCTTGCGGATCTTTTGTGTTTTGTTTTGGCTTCCACAACAACCTTGAAACTGCAGTTTTAAATGACGATTTTTGTATACACCCTGTACAGAACCATTATTTTTCATAAAAAACCCAGTGGTGTGGGGTTTTTTAAAACGTTTATATATTACTAAATTGTTTTCCATTTTAAGCCTCGATATAAAATACTTTGTTGAAAAAAGGAGGCAAATATTGTAAAACGGCTAAATTATGTACGCGTGACACCCGTGTCGTCAAAAACGCCAGAATTTAACTAATGTATAATCGGATCCTATTTCAATTTTTCCAATAATGCTAACCATTCTTTATATAACAATTTTGCAGTAAATGTTTCTCTACGGCTCCAGTAAAAGTGCCATGCTGCATTGAAAATGGAAAACCTGGAAAGATTGATCCAGAAACGAAAAAATGCGAAGAAGAATGTGACTGCGATCCAAACGATCTCACTGGACTCAAGGGTGTGAAGGTATTGCATATTCTTATCTTACAAGCTTGATAACTACATTATAAATATGTCAAACATTGATTGTTATTTCATTTATAAAATATTCCCAATCAAGTGTGCCTATCGGCTTAATTTTGGTAAAATGGAAGCGTTTTATTTCAATTGGACTCTGATTGAAAGCAATCATCGCACGAGAATTATACTGCTGGGGCTTGTTAATTGACCAATCAATATGCTATTATGACATTTGAGATTTTACATAAGTAATTAGATTAATAAAATGACTTTTATATATAATCATATATGATGGTATTTAGCAGCCACTTTGCCTATATATGGTATTGGCCAACATTACAAATGAAGATTTCCAAATAGAAATGCTGAATGCAATATCATTTAAGAACAATAAAATATTATACGTTTTGGGTGCAAATCTGCATTAAGCTGTTGCAGTTGACAAGACTTCTGTTGTAGTGAATTTCTTAATTTTGCTACACTTTTTTGTTACAAATATTAGTAAATCCTGCCAAATCATATATATACGTCACCCTAGGATAAAAGCTGTAAGTTGTCTGGGCGGTATTACCATGCGTTGAATCGTTGTGTATATTATTTTCCCTATAGGGTAGGTAAATTTAACATTGCATGTATACCAATACTATAAATGACGAAAAACTCGTACATAAATTAAACATTGGAATTAAGAAACTAACTCTGATTGTGATACATTTCATCAAAATGCATCGAATTTCAGCCAGCCAATCAAAGAACTTTAGCGCTAACTTAGTTGTGACCTCGGGCTGGCAGCCGTCAACCCGGGTATATTTTTTTTGCCAACCTTGGTCTTGGAGAAATAAAAATGAATGATAATTAACAATTAGACAACGAAGCCGAGTTGTCTATTTAACAATTAGACAACGAAGCCGAGTTGTCTATGAGCGAATAGTCAACGAGGCGAAGCCGAGTTGACTATTCGTTCAGAGACAACGAGGCTGAGTTGTCTAATTGTTTTAGTATAAGCCACATAAAGAAAACGAAATTTCTCACTTGATTTTTATGTAAAATATAAATAACGTTTTAACGAAATGAGCGTTTAAATGCCTTCCTTTGGCGACATTTGACATTTCGCCCCGGTTTTGTTGACAACTACTCATGCAGTGTTGCGAACTCCCAAGAATGACTTGAAAAATACAACTTGTGCGTTTTAAAAAAGTTAAAAAAACATGTCGTAAAACAGTATAATATAGTAAGAGACTGTAATAGAAGTAAAGTTTGGTTAATAAAAACTTATTAAAAAGAAGGAAACAAGGCTTAAAATGTGCAAAATGGCTTCCCGAATTGTTACTAAATTAGTAAATAAAGTTTACGTTAAAAAGCCGAATAAAAATGCACACACATGCAAAAGAATCCGATTATCTGAATGTCGTTGAAATCTTTAAAATATCTGGAACATAAAGAGGCAAACCATTCCCATAATCTAGTATACATAGACAATAGTTTAGATTAAAATTTTATCGAAAAACTCTACTTAAAAAGGCTCGAAAAGGCGAAAAACAAACTCGGCCAAAATCTCAACATTTAAACGAAAAAAACTCTTCAAAATGACAGCTAAATACATGAACTCGTACTTAAAACAAACACACATTAAAGAGGGGTTGAGAAAATAGGGTAAATAGCTACAAAGTATTGTTGAATTTCAACAATTCTGCTTGGAATATTAACAAATATTACTGTAATTGTGCATATATTTTAAAAATCGGCTGTCACTTTATTCATGCTCATAACAACGAGCAAAGTTGAAAAAACTTTAAAATTTTACCGCATGTGTCAGCAGCTTCCAAGAGTCTTTGTTTGTGTGCAATCCATAATCAAAATTAGGCCATTTCGATAAGCTTTTTCCCTTTAAATGCAGCTTTTAATACTTAAAAACGGCCTTTGACTCACGCGCCCTTCGCCGCTTGTTGCTACCAGTAGGCTATCACTAATAGCCTACTAGTAGCGTAGCCAATCAGAACGCACGATACGTGATAGCCTACTAGTAGGTTTATACTAATAATATTTATTCAGGAAACCAACATCACAAGAAGTGTTTTTCAGATGCATGTTCCTGCATATATATATATATATGCATATATATATATATATATATATATATATATATATATATATATATATATATATATATATATATATATATATATATATATATATATATATATATATATATATATATATATATATATATATATATGATCTCTGCATGTCACAGATTTAAATCAGCGCAAAGGCCTATAGGCAATTGTGCCCCCAAGCTCACTACCAGCAACTGCGGACAGCTGTTTCGCCCTTTTGGGGCTCGTCAGCGCAGTGTAGCTGATAGTGAGCTTTTCATCCGAAAAGTATTTATACAACCAACAATGAGACGATGGATGTGGGACGCATGAATTATATATACGACAAGAACCCCATTCAACCAACACCGCGGAAAAACGTCTGCGCATGCACCAAATTATGAAAATATGGCGGGGAATTTGAATATCAATTTCTAAAACAAAAACATGCTTATTAATTGGTCAAAAATTAGTAAAACAAACGAGAAAATATAGCAAATGGGTAGACTAGACATTAATTGAAAGCGTCCTGGCATTTAAAGTATGGAATGAAATATAATTCATGTAAAAATTGTTGATTTTAACGGACACGACTTCGAACATGTTTGCAAAATTATTCAAAACAAAAATTCAAACTCAAAAGTTAAGAAAACTCTCGAAAAGTTAAGCTTCTTAATCCACTCAAATTGTAGAATAAATCCTAAAGTTTAATTATTGTGAACACGAAAATTTTTTATATTTGGCGACACAGTTTTTTTTAAAGAAATGTATCTCAAACGAAAATTCGGAAATTGTCGTTGCTTAGTTGATAAACAAAATGTTTCAGACGATAAATTTGTCAACAATCACCTTTAGTTCATGTTCTTGTACAATACAATTTCTTGAACCTTCTGGTTGTATTTATTCCTAGTTTTTAGAATGACATGTTTATTTTTGCGCTCGAAATCTGGCTGTAAAGACGCACAATGAAGTCACTCATTTTTACCGCCATTTTGAGCCTTCGGAAACGTTCGGAACAGCTTCTCATCAAGTTCGCAATACTATTACAGGTAAGGTTGACGCATGCGCAGACGTTTTTCCGCGGTGTTCATTCAACCTAATACGCATGATCTCTGCATGTCACAGATTTAAATCAGCGCAAAGGCCTATAGGCAATTGTGCCCCAAGCTCACTACCAGCAACTGCGGACAGCTGTTTCGCCCTTTTGGGGCTCGATGATGCGTATTAGGTTGAATGGGGTTCTTGTCGTATATATAATTCATACGTCCCACATCCATCGTCTCATTGTTGGTTGTATAAATACTTTTCGGATGAAAAGCTCACTATCAGCTACACTGCGCTGACGAGCCCCAAAAGGGCGAAACAGCTCTCCGCAGTTGCTGGTAGTGAGCTTGGGGCACAATTGCCTATAGGCCTTTGCGCTGATTTAAATCTGTGACATGCAGAGATCATGCGTATTAGGTTGAATGGCGTTCTTGTCGTATATATAATTTATGTGTCCCGCATCCATCATCTCATTGTTGGTTTTTATATATATATATATATATATATATATATATATATATATATATATATATATATATATATATATATATATATATATATATATATATATATATATATATATATATATATATATATATATATATATAGTGTGCATATATATACATATATGGATATATATGATATTCCAGAAAAATTATGAGACTATATCGGATACATGATCCTATATACATATTTACAAGGTCAAGGATTTCCATGCATGAGTATTATAAAGATAGAGATTTGAGAAGTTCATTCTTAAATGTTCCTAACTGTTCAATGGATCTGACTAGTATTATAGTCCAAATCGTTGTACTCTTTACAAACCTGGTAAAGCAGTTTTTGCTTTCCCCATGCATGCATGCATGCATGCATTTGTCTTCGGCTTACAGAGGTATATGCCTTGTGTTATATAAATTATTATAGTTTTATAGGCAGTTCGAGATTTACGTTCACGGGTCCCAATCATGCAATAAGTGTTCAATGTTTTGTATTTGGTAAATAGCTGTGAATATATAATATGTTCAAATATCAGTTTATTTCCTTAATATTTCTTAACTATAATTCCTTCGCATTATTCCATACTTTACGTTTTGATTTTATTTTTAGCTATTGAGCATCACTCGTGCATGTGCATGATGTGCCCGCCACGCCATAAACATTAATACTTTTTCCTTTGTAGGCGGAAGATGGTTCCTGCAAATGTGAAATGTGTCCAGACAAATCTGTGAAACGAAAAAGAAGTAATGGGAAACCGGAATGTCCATGTCTGTGCAAAGATGGAACTGAAAGGCAAATGAATTCTGATGGCTCCTGCCCGGTAATTTTTGCCTTGAAAACTATAGTAGCTACTATGTCATAGAATAAATTGAAACTATATAATAATATTATCCTCTATAGCTAAAAACAAATTGATTGCTTAGTTTAAAGCAACCAACAAATTGATTTTCTCAGATTAATATGTTCGGCGCATTGACATTGGTGATACAAAAATTGAAAAAATTCTCTATTCGAATTTTCGTCAGTCTGATGATTAATTCACAACATATTAATTAATCATCTACGCACCTACCTTGTATGCTAATTAAAAGAGCCTGTCAAGTTTATTTATCTTTTATACTTTGCCATCATACTTATACATTTATTGGCTGGGAAACCACAACAGCTAGCTGTTGCCAATTATATAGCGGCCCCAATAGTTATACGGAAACAATTTACAAGGTATACTAAACAAATGCAGACAATAAACAATACTTGAACAACAGTCATTACATTTGTCTAAGGGCAGATGTCAATGGAGAGTTCGTTAAACTTCGAGCGGAATTACATTTTATACACACACTTTTCCATGTGCGGGGATCATCAACATCGTATGTAGGCTATTTTCTAATGCTAAAATATAGTATACTTAAAAAGAAGATTCTTGAATTCTGAAAATGTTCGGTCTTTGGATGTAATATATGATTAGGTAGTGTGTTCCCATAAAGTTGTATTTGCATGTGGTCCTCTCTCCTCCGCAGTTTTTGTGGCTAGCCCGTTTGCGGGCTAGCCATTATCACATAGTACACAAACGCGATGAGCGATGATGATCATGGTGTCCAGTCCGGATTTTCGTAAAGTCTCGGAAGTAATCGGAAGCGCCCGTATTTTTCTGCCGACATTTCACATTTCGAGGCATTTCATGATTTTGATCCAGTTTGAGGACTTCTACTTCTACTCTAGCATGAGCAGCATATCGCGTTATACCTTGTGTTCCTTTGAGTAAACTGTAAAAGGTATATTTGCTCATTTCTATTTTTGTATAAGTTTGCTTTTATTGTATTATTTACAACGCCATTTTGGCTTGGTCTGGTCAAAGATATATTTTTGATCCGAATATAGATCTGGCATTCTTATATTATACGCGAAGTCGACGTATAAAATCAGAAATACAGTATACAAAGGAGCCAAATCAAAATTAAAATTGAAAAATACAATATTACACATGAAAGGGCCCATTGTGCTCGTACGGATCATACAGGGCTATTTACAGTACGTGAATTTAGGCCACGTACCAAACAAAAACAAGCCAAGAATGCCAGGAGTATTGTAGGTAATATATGAACAACGAGAGCGAGTGTTTCACCGGGATATCCAAACACGAGAAAACAATGTATGAGAACACGAGCGCGAAGCGCGAGTGTTTTCATGCATTGTTTTCGAGTGTTTGGATATCCCGGTGAGACACGAGCTCGAGTTGTTTATATGGCTTCTCAAATGAATCGAGACGTAACAGAATGTTTTCGTTTGCTGATTTGAATAGAATTCTTAACCAAGCATAACGTAATTAGGAATTCTATTCAAGTAATTTTGCATGCGTAATTAAGATATTTGATGAAAACACTAGTGACTTTCATCAAGTATCCAAATGGCATCTTGTGATCAAATAGGTGATTATCATTGGCTGAATTACTCATGAATTATTAATGAATTTGAGAAGTATATTGCAAACCAATTGCCATTTGTGCTGGGATTAACTACCTTGACTATTGCTATATTAGTAAAAAAAACTACCTTGACTTTTGGTAATGTAGTCACAAGAACAACCTTGACTATTGCAGCCTATAGTACAGTAGTCCACGTAGATGAAATTATTTTAGTAATTTTGTTAGTATTTGCATTTCTTAGTATATATCTCTTTGGGTGTATAAAAATTGTTGTGTTCATCATCTAATGTGTTTTCACATTCCTTTTGAAACTATTTGCTAAAACACCCTCTAGGTATAAATATAAGCATCCAGCAAGTATACCCGTATTCTTGGGTTTCATATGACATCAAAAAGTGACGGGCTGTCAACTCTAAAACAAAACACAGTTATCAGAGTGAGTCGATTGTTCGTTTTATGTATTATCTTTGCGTTCAGTGGCAAATACATGGAATTTCGTATCATTTTCTCACTCCACTACAGCATAAGCATCAGTACATTTGAGGTTGACCCCCGTCAGATTCACTGCATAATGCTGTAGTGAAACCCAAGAATAGGCAACTGGTCCCTGCCGTTAAGCACCCTCAGGGTATAAGCACCATCTGGGTATAAGCATCCCCTGGGTATAAGCATCCACTAAGTATAATCTACAGAATTTGCTAAAAGTAAGACAAATGCAAAACTCAGAAATGTGTGAAATGACTTTACTTTCTCTTTATATTTTCCATACTAATTTTGCAGTCAATAATGCTACATTTGCCCTGTAACATGAACAGTCCCTACAATATTGGTTAACCCATTGAGCCGCAATGTGTGCCCCAGTGCGCTCTACTTTTTTGACCTGTCCAATGCCAGACGATTTTATTCGTCAATGCATGGGGAAGCTTTGCAACTTAATGAGTAGGGAAAAGTTATCTTTCAAAAATGTGTTCAAATAATGCTGGAAATGTCATTTCGGAAACCCAAATTTTAAGACATTGTGGGAAGGGTGTACATATGATGCTGGAACACCAAGCTCCCCTCTCCTAGGAGAGCCAAGTCTCATGCACGATATGCGGTCAACCTCGACAGTTATGACAATGTTATGTGCTGAAGCTAAGGGCTGGACACAGTAATTGAAATATTATACAATTGCAAGAGCACATGCAGTTGCAGAGAGTTTTGTAGGTCAGCCATACATACATTAGGTCACCTACCAACAATTTTTCAATGTCGGAGGCAGCAAGACATTGATAATTTTTTGTAGATTCTTAGCCAATCACAACGGAGATTGCATATGCATTGTACAATAATATCTCCAATTATTACACTGGCCGCAGCCAGTGTTATAATTTGCCCTCGCTGGAATGCGAGGAATTTTTTCGGTTTTTTTTTTTTTTTTTTGGTTGTCGCAAGTGTGACTTTCCATTGCGGCATCGTGGGCTCAGGATTGCGCAATTTAGCCCCTGAGCTATAATAATATTACTGTAATATTATAGCTCAGTGAATTTAGCTATCACATTTAATACACATGCAGACATGCTCACTATGATTTATAAACCAATTCCTATATTTTGAGAAGAAAGCGACACCGTACGATTCAGCGTATAAAGAAATTGTACTTACGGATGTCAAGTGTATTACTGAACACCAGTATTCTAGCGATTTATGGCCTTTGAAAATCAAGCGAAATTGTATTGACAAATCGCTGGCAGTATGTATTAATGTATTATTTATAACAAATCACTCGCACTACGTTTGTCTTTGTATTTGTAATGTCTAATGGCGCAATAAGGATAAAAATACCACCGTTCGATTAAGCATAAGAAATTGTACTTACGGATGTCAAATGTATTACTATTTAATGTATTTATACACTATTGAAATTTAATACAACGAAATATAGCATTCTACGTCGATAATTTCAGAACGCTCTTTTTAAATATGCGGACGATTCAAATATAATAGTGCCAGTTTGGAGTGAGGGTCCTGATACATCAACAGATACAGTTGGACAATTCCTGAGCTGGTTTGATGATAATTTTATGACTTGTAACCCTGGTAAATGTAAAGAGCTTATCATCCGGAAGAAGGGATATAATGATCAACTTGACAATGTTTATAATATACCCCAATGTAAAGAACTTCCCATTTTAGGTACTACTTTTCAAGACAATCTCAAGTTCACCAGTCATGTGCGAGGTAAATTGGTCAAAGCAAACAAATGCTTGTACGTTATACGAACACTCAGGGCAGAAGGCTATAGCCAATGTGAGATAGATTATCTATTTAAGACCCTAGTAATATCTACTATAACGTTTGGCCTGTCCGTCTACGGTTCTTCTCCAGCCGAACTCAATACTCTACAACGGTTTTTTGACAGATGTTTTAAGCGAAAGTATATATCAGAACCTGTAAATATTAGATATCTTTTAGAAATACAAGACAGAAATATTTTTAAAGCTTCTGTAAATCAGAAGAGTGCCATAGTCGACTTGATACCAAGAAAAAAATCCACAAGCTACTCTTTGAGGACAGAGTTTAGTCAGTATCCAAGAGTGAACACGGAACGTTTTAAATTGTCGTTTGCAAATAGATTAATTTTTAACTATAACCTATTCATATGATGTAAACTTTACTAATGTATTCTTAATATGTACTTGTAACATAAGATATGTATTTTTATCTTTTGATCTATTAAAAAGACTTTTGAATTGAATTGAATTGAATCATAGTTTAATAATTATTTTCGATCTATAGTAATTCACCGTTTCCAGTTTTTTTTATACCTTTACTAAAGCTACAATAAAGCTAAATTTGTAGGAAATAGCATTTTTTAGTTATAAAATAGTATAAAAGAAAATCTAACAGTCAATCGCTTTCGATACAAACTTGACCTGCCTTGACCTTGTTTATATTACCGTCGTTGGCAACTAATGATGAACAGACGCTCATAAAAACATTGCTTATTCGCGTGAGAATCTTAAGTTTTCTAATTTTGACATAATAGCTATTTTTCAAACAATATATTGATCTTAAACTTATTGAATCAATATTTTAAGTTTCAGATCAGTTGTACCAAAAGTTATAAGCGGTCGCGCATCATTACCAGGGCACAGGGTCGGTCATACAGAAGCCCAATTTATTGGTTTTTCTTATGGTTTTCCAATGATTTTGGCGTGACCGTTATTCATCATCAAAATGCTGACGTCATGGTCCTGGCTGGTGCGCTTTTGGGAGGCATTTACCCCCCTTATAATATTCAAAATGATAGACGTCCAGCGGGAGGGGGGGGGGGGCGTGCCTCTTTGGTGCGCACTGGTTGGGATGTGGCAGCGTTTACTCTAATTACAGTCTTTCAAAACATGGTTTGGAAACACCGCTAAAGTCTTTGTTCTATCTTTTTGTTTTGCGTTTATGCAGTTTTGTGCACGGTGCACAGTCAATTATGAACACATTGTATTTAAGTATAATGAACGAATCATCCAACAGCGACGTTTCAATTCAGTCATTCAACCATGTTAGTTAAATATTAATAAACCTAAAACAAAGGATGTACATGGTTTAAGGTACGGCTCAACGTAAAATCCCAGCTCATTATAACCGCTTTGAAGTTTACTGAGTTTCCAGACCATGTTTTGGACTATGCTCTAATCGACCTTCTGTGTATCTTTGTTCAGTGCCAGGGGGTAACTGCTTCTGTTTACTGTACTTGCCGAATGACAAATCATGACAAATAGCACGTACACAGAAAACAATGGAGATGGCCATGATTTCTGTATAGTATTCTGAGTCGTGAGGTTTCATGGTTTTGATGGCATGCAACATGTAAGCACTACGTACCTATTTTTTAGAATATTGCGATGGTATTTTACTGTTTTACCAGCCGCTAAGGCCAGTGTGAACGCCTGAGCAGGCGTCTTGTTACTATTAAAGTTAGCTTGCGTGTCTTCTAATTACTATTAAAGTTAACCAGCATGGCAGGCTCTCTGTGTTTGGAGGAGGGTTTGACGAGTTAAAGTTTACCAGGCTAGCCACATGTACGCATTGCCATCTTATGAGTTCATTGGCGAAGTAATTTTAAAAATAAACATTGTCTAAGCCGAGAAAATCAAAGCTGAAGTTTATGTAAATCAGGACAAATCTTCCGATTTACAAACATTGATTAAACATTCATTTCTTTTGTATTTTTCTCATGAATTGTTAAGTTCAAAATATTCATGGCTGCTGGGTCATGTGCACATATACTATTGTTTCTGAAATAAATTTTGATTTTTGTTTTTAGTGCTCGTGCAACTGTGAAGACGGCAGCAAAGACACCATTGCGTCGGATGGTTCTTGTCCCTGTGAATGCTCGTGTAATGGATATGAGACATCAATTCGTGGACCTTTCGGTTGCAAGTGTGAAGACAAGTGAGTAACTTAAATAATAGAATATAAACTGCTCACCTTGAGTCAAGCGATTTCATGCGATTGGCGGCTGTGCTTCGTACAATAATTTTACCGCAAACAGAATTTTAATTTAAAAAGCTTTTGTTCTGACGTTCTCTGCATGACTAAAATGTGGAAAATATAGTACTAGACTACTAGTTACTGTATGTTCAATTTATTATACAAAATTTATTTTGGCGGAAGATATTTGGGGGGGGGGCACCAAAAATTTATTAACCACTTAGGGGAGGCTACCAAAAATATCAAAGAAAGGTAGGGGGGGGGCACCAAAAATAATGTACAATAATCATAAAACATCAGAAATTATAGTTCACTGTAATATAAATGTCAATGCTATATAAGTATAGGTAGTCACACGGGAAGGAGTGCAATTAATGATTAACACTACGAGTGATATTTGAAAAATGTGCCAAAATTGCACAAGCCGTTAATAATTAATTGCACGACTTGCCCGTGTGATTATTTATTTATTTTATGCATGGCATGATGACAAAATAGTTTTCTTTAAAATTCAACTTCATTTTGTCAAGAGTTTTTAATTCTTTTGTAAGCAATTTGGCATAAACAAACTTACTTGGGAAATGATCATAAACTCATAAAGGCACATAACTTAAACTAGAACAAATGATTCAAACTCAAATAACATATGTTCAGAGTATTAAGAAAATCTAAATAAATTGTATTACAGACTTACATAGTCACGTTTCGCTGCATCTCGCCTGTGTTTTTTTTAAATCATTCTTGTGCCAAAATGTAGTTCAATTCGTCCATGTGATTTTTATACAAGATAAAGATAATTTTCCCCGCCATATTGGACTTGTTGTTTTGATTTCCCGCTGCCGCCAGCCACAAAATAGGAAAGTATAGCAGAAGTGTAACTTGAGTCTTAACTCGCTCACGCCAATCCACGCCATCCTGGCTAGTACAAGCCGGTTTTGATAGGTACAAAGTGCCGGTTGTACTAAATTAAGTCCGAAATAACACAAGTCTCACACCTCTTCCTACATTACTAAGAGAGACTGTCGACCCCCAAATAAACAAGCCCTAATCACCACCGGCCGTATCCCAAATCAACTGGACCCCTCTCTACTATACGTAACCAGTTAAATCAGTTGATAGCGACTTAAGACCTTTTTATCTCACACCAGCCGGTGCTGAGTAAATTATTGGAAAGTTTCATTTTTCGGTGCCTTTTTAATCATATCAAACCATCAACTGACCCTCTCTGGTTTGGAAATATTAAAAATTGCCCCACCACACACGCCCTCATCCAAATTATCCATAACTAGCTGGCTGGACGAATTTGAATACCCTGGTTCAACTATCAGATGTTGTACGGTTTACTTTTCGAAAGCCTTTGATCGCACAAATATGTCAATAACTGTTCTACTTATGAAATCGTTTCAAGATGCTCCCCAAATTTATCGCTTCAAGCTAATAGAAACGCTATTAATGATTGGACCAATCATAACAACATGCGGCTTTATGTATATCTAAATCCAAAGAACTTACGTATATCGTTCATAGATATCTTATATACACTAGATAGCGCATCTCTTTTAGTAAAATTGAAGCCAAGAATATTCCAGCGGTTACCCCCATTTGAATAGATGGCGGCTATGTTGAAGTTTCCCACTCGCTAATAAACGCTTAAAAAACAACAATAACTTTCATCATTTGAATAGTTTGAAAATGTATTTGGAATAGGTTTAACTTAATGTTTAAGTTCCCTGTTTAAGAAATAGGAAACATACGAGTCTTCTCATTTCATGGGAATATCACGGCTTCAATTTTTGAATTGCAGAATAATTAGATGCACTATCTAGTGTGTATAAGATATCTATGATATCGTTCCTTAAAGTCCCCTTGAAATTCGACACGCTCTCTTCCTCTGGTTTAAAATATACAAATCGTACAGGACCCTCAAACGATCTGCTGCCCCCAGCCAATTATTTAATTAATAACGGTTTTTTGTGCATTTATTCGTCCAGTTTTGGAATACGCCTCACCTGTATGGCACTTTTCTCTTGCTCAATTCCTCGCGGACCAAATCGAGAGTATACAAAAAAGTGCATTGAAGATCGCTTTCCCCCAGTCCTCTCGTGCTGCTTCATTAAGGAATGTTGGCCTTCTTACACTTTACCAGCGAAGAGCAAATCAGCACATGCCATTTTATATGCTCGCCCGGGAAAATTTTCATTCTCCGGACTATTTAAATATAGTCCTTTCGTAATTCGAACACAATAAAATATAATTTACCTCAGTTTAATCAGGTAAACAATCGCTTTTAAATTATAAGCATTCATGTAAAAAGGAAAGGGGCTCAACCCCCCCCCCCCCATGCCTGAAGAACGACTCCCTCCCATTGGTGAATAGACATATTGCATAAAAAAGTGGGGAGATATACGTATAGGCAGGGATGTAGCGAAGCATCTGCATGAAGTTGGGGGTGTCGGAAGATTTCACCTGAAATTTGAACTTCAATGTTAAAAATTTACCTGCAGTGTAATAATTATAATAAAGCTTTTTGTGATCGATTTGCACTATCATACTTCGGAAGAAAAGGGGGTCTGGGAGTCCTCCCCCACAAATTTTTTACATTTTTGATGCTTTATGACTGCATTTCTGGCGTTTTCTAAAACAAATTCGTAAACGAATTGGATGTAAATTGATTGAATTTTACAAAAATTTTACAAAAATTTTGCAGTTGGGAGGGATTTGCACCCCCCCCCAACACACACACACACACACACACACACACACACACGGTCGCTACGTCCCTGCGTATAGGGAAGTATAATAAAGTTGGACATTTCAAGATCATTATTAAAATTCTAGATAGGGTGATAAAATTTCTGGATAGCTTTCTGAACTAAACGAAATAATGTTGATAGAAATTTAGAAAAAAGAATAACATCTGATTATCCGACTTAGTTCGTTATGTTCGATGCAGTTGCATTACAAAATGGCGGCGGTTGTTGGTGTCTTTGCGATGCTGTATTTATATCAGCTTTTATGTCTCGCTACGCCTGTCATTTCGCCTGTTAATTTGTCAAACAAACGTCTACCTATCAATGAGCACTTGCATAACAATTATTCGATCAAATCATGTGTTTCTACGCTTAAATCTGCATCGTTTGCTGTATATGAAATCGCTGCGAAGACCACAATCATGCCCGTAAATTCCAAGCGTATTACCTCTAAGCGAAGTACGTCCACTTTGGCATATTTTCTTTGTATGTCGCTGCTTTTAACCGGTGGAAATATTGAGAGAAACCCTGGACCAGTTCAGCAAGGGCACAATCTTAAACTTTGTGCAGAGAAGGGCTTGAGAATTTGTCACTTAAATATACGTAGTCTCGTCAACAAGATCGACGAAATTAGAGTGTTTTGTGAAACCCACAAACCTCATGTGTTATGCTTAAATGAAACATGGCTTGATACGTCTATTGCCGATGGAGAAATACAACTCGATGGTTATTCGCATATACGAAGAGACAAAACTCGTCATCAAGGCGGTGTTCTTGTTTACATTGCATCAAATTTAAACTTCAAAGAGCGTGACGAGATCGGAGACGAAAGCGGTGAGCTTCAATGTTTATGGCTTGAGATTGTACCTCCCAAAAGCAAAGGCTTTCTTATTTGCTCTTCTTATCGCCCACCGAATTCCGACAACGAAAGGACATATGTCGAGGGCCTACGAAATATGCTTGATAATGTGAGTGATTTACAGAAAGAAGTTATTCTCATTGGGGATTTTAATTTTGACTTAAAACGGTCTAGAAAATCGGCGGCGTGTAAGTGCTTTGTTGATATGTCTAAGGAATTCGGTTTAAAGCAAATTATCTGTGACTACACTCGTGTAACTCAACACTCAAAATCATTGATTGATCTCTTTTTAACATCTCGTCCTGACCTATACATAACAGGAGTAATGCCTGTTGGGTTCAGCGACCACAGTGTAATATATGCGGTTCGCAAGCTGCATAGATTAAAACCTCCATCTTCACGGATCATTAATACACGAAATTATAAATGTTACAACCAGATTGCTTTTGTCGAAGACTTAAATAAAGTTCCCTGGTCGCAAATCGACATAACTGGAGATATTGAAGATTCGTGGGATGCTTTTAAAAACCTATTCAATGATGTCGCAGACTCTCATGCCCCACAAATTCATGTTCGAACGAGAGGTCAAAAAGTACCTTGGTTAACAACGGAGATTAGAAAATTAATGAAAGAAAGGGATAATCTTCACAAACTGGCGCTTAAGACCAATAGTGAACTACACTGGAGCTCCTTTAAACGCATGCGTAATGCTGTAACCCTTAAGTTAAGAAGAGAAAAGAAACATTACTATAACAATCAATTTCAGGAGAATTAATCAAACCCAAAGGGGACTTGGAAAAATTTGAAACGTTTACTTGGTAAATGTGGAAAAGGAACTGGATGCACTGGTGCAGGCTCAGCGACAACTGATTTGAAAGTTAAATGCAACATGTTTAATCGTTTCTTTGTTTCCTGTGCTACGAACTTAAGATCAATTTGTAGCACGACTGGCCATGCGTTCAAAAAATGGTTACCCCAAATGGAACATTTGGAAAGCTTTACGTTTCAACAATTTACTGATTCGGAGGTTCGAACTGCTCTGAGGGAATTAAAGGTGAAGAAAGCCACCGGTGTAGACGGCATACCAAGCAGATTGTTAAAAGACGGAGCTGACGTATTGGCCTATCCATTGACAGTTTTGTTCAATTTGTCAGTTCAACAATGTAAGATCCCTGGGGAATGGAAGAAGGCAAAAGTTACGCCACTTTACAAGAATGGCGCAAAGAGTGATCCAAAAAATTTTCGCCCTATTTCTGTTTTACCGGTAGTATCTAAAGTTCAGGAGCGATTAATCCATAACCAACTTTCATCGTATTTTGATGAAAATAACCTGTTGTGTAGATTTCAGTCAGGATTTCGAAAGAAACACTCAACAGAAACGGCGGTAACCCATTTTGCAGACCAAATTCTCATGGGCATGGATAAAGGGCTAGTGACGGGTGCCGTTTTCATTGACCTAGCTAAGGCATTCGACACGATCGACCATGATGTCTTAATTCATAAGCTGAAACATTATGGCGTATCCAATGAAAGTCTATTATGGTTTAAGGATTACTTCTGCGCAAGGAAGCAGTTTGTAACTATTGATTCGCATAGATCTGAAGAGCTGGATATCGCTTGTGGGGTCCCGCAAGGGTCAATTCTTGGCCCGTTATTATTTATCATTTACATCAATGATTTATCATCTTGTATGCGAAGCTGCTCAGTCAGTATGTATGCAGACGATACAGCAATATACTTTGCGGCCTCGACGGTTGATGTGGTGAATGATAACATCAATGAAGATTTAAATTGCTTATCTGAGTGGTTGAAAGATAATTACCTGGTGCTGAATATCACCAAAACCAAGTGTATTTTGTTCTGCTCACAGAGGCACGGTGAACGAAACAGAGCTCTTACAGTGAACTTCTTCGGGTCATGTATCGAAAGTGTTATCACTTTTAAGTACTTAGGTGTAGTATTCGATAGTCATATGACGTGGAAAGATCAAGCGGATCATGTATACAAAAAGGTTGCAGTACGAGTTAATGTCTTACGGCGTATTAGAACATTTCTAACGGAGAAAGCAGCAATACATGTTTACAACGGTATTATCCTGCCAGTGTTCGATTACTGTGACATTACCTGGAGTAGCCTTCTGCAACAAGACGAGGACAGATTACAGCGATTGCAACATCGCGCCGCAAGAATTATAACACTGAGTGAAAGATCATCCGAAGCGATGGAAAAATTAAAATGGTCTTCATTGAACTGTAGACGCTCTTACCATAAAGCTATATTAGTTTACAAATGTCTACATTCTTTAGTCCCGAATTATTTTTTAAATTATTTTAAGAAATTTAGTAATGTACATAGCTACAATACTAGACACAAAAATAGGCTAATACTTCCCAAAGTTAAATATAATTTTGGAAAAAATACTTTTATCTTCAGTGGGGTGCAGGTTTATAATATGCTCCCAGATCACGTGATGAAGGCTGAGTCCATTCACACGTTCGCACGTCTTGTACGAATTGTGTGTAATGAACTTTCTTATTGATGTGGAACATGGAAGTGACGGAACTGATTGCGACAATATTTTGTACTTTTATATATCATACCTTAAAATGTAATTCCTACAAATAGCTTATATCTAGACACAGGGCCCCTATGGATACCAGCCTTCGTGCTGAAAGGGCCACCCTGTTTAAATAAAGTTTTTCCATTCCATTCCATAAAACAGGAATACTTTTCAAGAAGTTTGGCTGGTCGCTGAGATGGGGTGTTAACTGGATTTATTACATGATTGACGCGGTTTTCTTTGTTATTCATAGACCTTTATTTTCCATAATGTCTTTCAAGTATTTAAAAGCCCGGGGAGGGATTTGATATTCAGCAGGGAAGAGTGGGGCTGATGAATTGAATTGAATTACTAATTAGCTATTCTAGTGCAATATCTGTATATTGCGCTGAGCTCCAGTGCAATATATGTATATTGCACTCAGTTTGAGTGCAATATATCTATATTGCACTTGAATAATTATGTATTAAATACCTCATGAATAGTTTAATGAGGTATTTATCTAGATAAATACCTCATTAAACTATTCATGAGGTATTTAACTAGATATATACCTCATGAATAGTTTAATGAGGTATTTATCTAGATAAATACCTCACTAAAACTATACTCATGATGTACTTATCTGGGTAAGTACCTAATGAGAGGTTAGTCTCTTTCCCAACTCGATAAACGCTGAACCGTCTCCAGTCGGGAAAGAGACAACAGCCGTGTACCTCAGAGCCCGTCAAAACTCTACCATTAGGTAAGAGTATGTATCATTCGGCGCACGAGGACTAGCTGGATCAACCATCAAACTTGCTTGTGCAGGAAATTTATACAGTAACATCTGCTTTTTCGCTTGTGGGACGTGAAATGATATACTGCGCATGCTTGACCACATTTTAAAGCGTATATAGTGCGCATACTCAGCCTTGTGTTACGTCCCACAAGCGTAAGAGCTATTTTGTGAAAAATTCTCAATCATGTAATAAGTCAGTTAATTACCTCGAACCTCGGCATTTATCCATATACAGCCCTCGGCGCTACGCGCCTCGGGCTGTATATGGCTAAATGCCTCGCTTCTCGGTAATTAACTCTTACATAACACTAGGCTGGACATTGCATAAGCTGCATTGTGCCACAACTTTATTGTTTTACTCCGTCTAATGTCAGATGATTTTACCTGTCTGTGATATCACCCAATGGGTTACTGAAACAAGTAGCACTTATCTCGAACATACAACTGAGGTTAAATAATAACCATACATGGGCGTACCGGGCGGGTGGGGGGGGGGCTGTAGCCCCCCTAGTTTTTTGGGCAGTCGGGCAATATTCGCTGAACAGTCGGGCAATTTTGGTTAATTAAAAAACTAAATGGGACAAATTCTGTAAATTTTGTGGAAAATTTTGTGAAATTTCACTGACCGAAATTTTTTTTTTTTGGGTGGGGGAAGGTCGCCAAAACATCACCCTTACATTTTATACCCATCTAATGGATTTTGCTGTTCAAAAATTCTTTCTCGTGTTTTAAACTCTATCCTACATAATAGAATGATTACAAATCAATTATTTATTTCTTTTCGTGGGAAAATGTGAGTCACTATGGTCAATTTGAGTCCCAGAAATCATGGTCCCACAGTCAAAATTTCAAATTTTAACCCATAAAGTTGCATCGCACCCTTTATTGTATTCCAGTCTAATGCCAGACAATTTTATTTGTGCGTGGAAGAGTGATGGTGGTTAATTGGTTAAGGATGCCAAGTTATATCATTATGCTTTCAATAAGTAACAGAGTTGTAACTTAACACTTGCCTGAGGCAAGTGAATCATTGCCACAAAAAGCTGGGCATCTTTAAGTTTATGTTTTCATTGCCGCATAAATACAGTGCATGTTGTATTTGTGCATGGATTCAATTTTTTTTTGGGCCAAACCTAGATATAAGGCATTATAACATAGCCATCCAGAGCAGAGGAAGAACGGGTCAAAATGTTGTCCCCTTAAGCCCCGTTTACACTACGCTCAATTTTTGGTACGGCACGGATAAAATTGGTACCCGTACCACTTTTTTGGTTCTTGGACTACCTATTTAGGTAGTCCAAGAACCAAGAAGTGGTACGGTACCAAAAATTGAGCGTAGTGTAAACGGGGCTTAGCTAAATAGCTGGTCCAAGAACAAAAAAAGTGGTACGGGTACCAATTTTATCCGTGCCGTACCAAAAATTGAGCGTAGTGTAAACGAGGCTTTAATTTATACTCCCTACCTAGGTACCCCAGTGGCCATTGTCTGATGGAAAGTGAATTTTATTCAGGGCAACTAATTTTCATATCCAACTTGACAAGTTGAACTTGCCCTAAGGACAAGTGGTCAAAAAAGTAAAGTTAAACCACTGACTACTGAGTAAAGTATATGAGCTACAGTATCATGGTTATAAAAACTCTGGAATAAGCCATGCAGTTTTTTTATAAATTAAAATTATCACTCATCAATATGTCTGCAGGTTGTTGAAGAAAGTTCGGAGGAATCAACCTGAAGAAGCAGAAGAAAGCGCATAAATGAGGAATTGTGAAAAGCAGCAGCTGATTGACCAATTGGACCCATTTATTTACTATGGCATTTCAAAAGGAGTTATGAAGCCACCACATGAACAGTGATTTGGTAATTAAATCATATCATTTTGTTTTTTGATTAATTAGAGTACCAACATTGGATTCCTTAGCTCACCGACATTTCAGACATTAGGTGCCGTTAATAGAAAATAATGACTGAAAATTGCATTTTGGTTTATACTGTACCGGTAACTAATAAATGACATGAAAAATCAAAATTGCATTTTTTAGCTCCCAAAATATCACAATGCTTTTATTAAAAATGTAACTTAATTAATATTATTTTTTATGCATGTAATTCTATAGAAAGTACTTCACCTAATGAAGAACATTTCATTCACTCTTCAAATCAAGAAGTAAACCTGCTAAGAGCAAACTGGACATCATAAACTTTGAGGTGAGGTTATAGTTTCATTTTTTATAAAATGCATTTAGTAAGGCCTGAATCAAACTTAGTGTACATATACATCTTCTTAGTTTTGAGCTTTCATATGGTTGAAGTAAGTTAATATGGGCTAACAAAAACAGTCCATCAATCATAGTATTTCGCTCTGTCTATATAACCCCATGCCAGGGGATAGCTTGTTAGTGAAAACATAAGCCGTTAATTAATCAGGGTTGTGTAGTTGTTACGAAAACTATTTTTATGTTTTTTTTTACACAAAAGGATGGAGACACTGCCTTGACTACCCGGCTACAAATGTGGCAACCTCGTTCCCAGGGCTAGTCGCGAATTGAAGGCGGCGACGTAGCCCTGGTAAACGCTGGTCACGTGACTCCAACATTACGTAATTGTTACTTTTCTCAACCGGGGGGTGAATAGGTGAAACTCGAAGACAAACAGTTTTTATCTCCGAAATTCTTCAATCTTCCCTGTGAATTTTGCATTTCAAGCTTTTCTCAAAGTACGGCGATTGATCAAATGGATCAATACTTTCTGTAGAAAAAACTCAGTGAGATTTGTTCGTATGAGACGTTTAAAGACTTGGATATGTCGCTAAAGACGCTTAGACGCTCGATCATTGCACATGTTTATGGTTTAGTACTTTGTTCAGTTTGTTGCGACTTGCGAAGCAAATGAATGCAAATTCAACTCTTGTATAATGACTAAAAGTTGGTTTGTAGAGGGACAACTTATACAAAAGATATGAATACATTAGCTTCAAACTAGGGACAAGTTCATGGACAATGGACATCCCTAATATATGGACATTGATATTTCACCAATATGTAAATATGACTATTAAATATATAAAAGGATTGCTGTTGTATATGTACAAGTGTTGTGCTGTGGTATTTACGTTTTAACCCTTTAAGTCAATGCACCCAGATGCGCCCTACTTTGTTAGTTTACTCTGGCTAACGCCAGACAATTTTACTCGTCAGGGGGAAAGTGCATGCTGCCACTCAATGGGTTAACATAGTCGATGAACATGCCAAATGATCCTTGACCGTGGTAGTGCATTTTTGCACTTGCTGGATGATATCGCAACCAAGCATTGTTTCAGAGGAAGAGCCCTGAGATCATGCTGTGTAGCAATTGGAATCTCACGTCACGAAGGTCTTGCATAAAGCTGGCAAGACCTTCACTCAGATTTAATATTAGCCAGGATTAATATTAATTCCCCACATAAACACTTGGAAACCGGACTGTCCCATCTGCAGGACAAAAAAACATGCAGCCTGGACTTTAACTGTTAAACAACCAAATCAGCATGATAAATCTGTAAACAGTGTGATAATTTTTGCTTAGCCCAAACCAAAGCCAGTTTTCTAGAATTAATTTGCAGAATCCTAAGAACTGGACCTCCAACTTGAAGAGCTAGCTGTGCTAACCAAGTCAACAATAACTGTGTATGGGCAACCCTGAATTGAAGTGACTAGAGCAAATCTTCAAAGAATAATAGAG